CCTGCCCAAACTAATGCTTAGCTGTAGTATCTTCCTGACAAGTTCCATGCAGACACAAAGCCTATGTATGTGATGCATAGAGAATATGAAAAAGAATTGCTGCTTTTAGACCTTATGTAGAAAATCCTTTTAAAATGTTTGTTAGTGTTTCTCCCTTTCTGTGAGGTTGTTCTTTTGACTTCTGTGCCTTGGAAATACTATGTGCACTCCTCATAGGTGGGCTGTGGGTAGCCTATAATGATAGTTATTGGTAGGAAAACCCTATGAAGTTTAGGGTTTGACATGTCACAGGCAAAAGGAGACATGCTTAGACATTTCTTTCCCAGGGTCTCCCAAGCAGATCATACACACTTGCTTTCTCACCTGGCTCCCTGTCTGTTGGCACAGACTGTACATGCTAGGTGGGTTCCTAAGATCTACCTCATGCAAGATTTCCCTGTGAATGAGAATGGTTTCTATTACTGATATCTAGGTGGGAGAACTGGAGTCCATCAGTGCTCTCCTGCATACTTGGTTTAGCACCAGAAGGACCAGAGTCATGACAAGTGCTGTCACTGAGATTGCAGCAGGCCCCAGGGAAATGCACTGATTTGTACCCACTCAAGTGGCCAGGTCTCATGAATAGCTGGAGGACTCCTAACCCTAATGAGACCAGGATATGAGATTTGGCCAAATCTCACAAGACCCCAAATGCTGGCTTTATTATGAGATCTTTATCATGGAGAGCCAGTGTGGTATAGTGGTTAAGAGCATGGGACTGGGACTCAGACGATCTGGGTTCTAGTCCCCGCTCAGCCATGGAGCCAACTGGGTGACTTTGGGCCAGTCACAGACTCTCAGCCCAACCTACCTCACAGGGTTGTTGTTGTGGGGATAAGATGGAGGAGGAGATGTAAGCTGCCTTGAGCCCTTTGTAGGAAAAAGCCAGGCTATAAATAGAAAAACAAATAATAAATAAATTTGGGGACAAAACTATAGAAGGACTTATTTTATGCCACCCTTCCTCAGTCAGAGGCTGCATGAAATAGTTCTACAACATTTATTCAGTATCACAGCATAATGTCAACTGGGATGGTCACATATATTTACCTAAGAACATAAAAAGTCATGCTGGATCAGAGCAATGGTTCATCCAGTCCAACATACTCTTCACCTGGTGGCAACTCTCAGGACCCTTCAAGAAGGATGGATATAACACTTTCACCTGCCTAAGCTCCTCAGCAAGAGGTGCATGCAGGCATATTGCCTGTAATAATGGAAGTAGCACACAGCCAACAAAACTAGTAGTCATTGCTTGCCCTCTCCCGCATTAATTTGCCAAATCCTTTTAAAGCTATATAAATTCACTACTTCCCTTTGCAGTTAATTCCATAGTTTAACTATGTGCTGTGTGCAGAAATACTTCCTTTTATTTATCTTGAATTCCCACCAGTCACCTTCATGGGGTAACTTCAGGTTCCAGTATTATGGGAAAGGGAGAAAAATGTCTCCCTTTCCACTTTCTCCACACATGCATAATTTGAAACACTTTGCTAATGTCTCCACTTATGCACCTTTTTCTAAGTTAAACAATTCCAGCTGTTATAACTGTTCCTCATTGAGGAGCTGCCCCCCTATATAACTGCCCATATAGATCTGGTCCTTATATTTGGTACTCATGGACCCAATATTGATGTGTATGTCACATCTATGCTCAACCCAGGGTGCCATGTTCATACTGGAACCTAAAGCCTGTATGTAGTAATACCCAATCCTTATGAGACAGATTGGGTTATGTGCAGTGACATATGCACACTGTGTTTGGTGGTACTTGTCCAGGTTGTTAAATAAGTAACATATTTGGACATTGCTACCTTTCATTTTACAGCCTTATGGATAAATGGTTATCAGAACATGTCCACCAGCCTCTCTTCTGCTTGTGGCTAACTGTCATACCACAGCTCATTGTTTTTAAAGTCAAGGTAGGATTGAGGACCACCCTCATTCTGGAATGCTCACAGCAGACTCAATGACAGTCCATCAATGGTTGTTCATCACAGCAGAATCAATGCTAAAGCTGAGAGAAAGGTGTCCTTAAAATTATGTCATGGTATTTGTTCATGGCTGAAGCCAGCTGGACCACTATTATTACACATCTAGATTATGTATCCAGATGACAAATTACTCCAAGATTTCTTTGCTATGAGCATGTATATTACCCTAAATGGATACACTGATCAGAATACAGTCTTTACTTTGCATCCTTGGATTCCAGAACAGAATGGGAAAATGGTCAGTATATTTCACTTTCCAGAGCTTCTCCTTAGTAGGTAGGTCAAACACGTCAGGATACAGGCTGCAGTGGGAGGACCATGGTCTTCCCAACTCAATTTGCTTGGAGGGAGTAGTCAGCCATGGGACCCAGTTGGCTGGCTGTCCCCATCCTATATATCTGCTATGTAAGATCAAAGCATGGTCTACATTCCTGATCTAGCTGTTGCAGCTTGTGTTCCTCCTCCTGAATCTGGCATTCAGGATACTGTCCTGGTTTGAAGTCACAGCCATTCCACTGGGAAGGCCATTAGCTGGGGCCCCATCACTTGACAGGAGTTCAACCAACCCTTGCTATCCAGGTCCTGGAGTAAATTAAAAATACTATCAAGCTTGGTCATTGTATTGTCCTGGACTTCAGTTTCTTGCAGCTCAGGAGATGCATTAATTTTATTCTTCTGGACCAGGCTGATCCTGAGGAGAAAAATTCCTTTCCACACTGTCTATCCATGAATTCAGAGTGTTCAACATTTTGTGGATTTGATCTAGCTTCTTTATGCTGGGTATTGTTGGCTTTTTTCTGGTTCTCATATTGCTGCCAGATGCTTCTGCTTGGAATGCCACTTTCTATGGGGGCAGGTTAGGGCTGTCTCCACTGGATGGCTGCACTGGCTGTAGTCCCTTGGGAAGGCAGGTTGCAAATGACCCCTTCTCACTAGATGATTGAATTGCAACAATCCTATCACTTGTTTCCTTGCTTGCCTCCATTGTCTCCAATGGGCCTATGGAAGATGAATTATTAAGCCTGAATAACCAGTATTAAATCTGGTCATCCAGGAGAGAACTGTGTGCAAACCTGGTGCCCCCTGTTAAGGCAATCTTAAAGCTGGCAGGCAGGGAACCAGTCAGTTGGCAGTTGGGGGGACAGGAAGTTCATGCTGCTGTATTCCTCCTAAGGTTGGGTCACAATTCCACTATGCAAAGTGGATGAAGTTTCTGTCTGATCCAAAACCACCTTCCCTTGGAGACAGTCCACAAAACACAAGGAGACACCTCCATCTACTTTTCCCCTGAAGTACTTACCTGGGCTGAAAAGCTAGTGAGCTCAAGCCCAATATGAATTCACATTCCACTTCCTTCTCCTTCAGCCATGACCATGTGGTTTGCAGCCTCTCAAGGACTGAAGGACTTTTAGACAGGGGAGACATGCTTGCTGTAGCCTGGAAAAATTCAAGCTTCCTCTCCAGGCTTTCTGTATGTTCCATTATTAATCTGGAGCATACTGGTCACTCGGTTCAGAGTAAGGGTTCTGAGTGTGTACGCTTCATTCTTTTGCTCATCAGTCTCCACAAGAGCTGATGAGACCTGCTTCAGTTTGGTGTTGAGAGCTCTCAATACAATTGTAATGAGAGACCTCAAATCCACATTGAGGCCACCACACCTGGGGCAGTTCCAAGATTTCACACCTATGGGTCTGTCCCAAACTGACATCAGCCCAATGCACAAAGCAAGATGCACTCTCAATTTGTTTTGGGTAGATCTCAAAGTGGCAAGTTTTCTATCAACTTCCTAGTTATGGTCTACTGAAAACATTATATTTGAACTCTGACTTGTCATTGCTCCACATAAACTGAGAGTGAGTCCTAGAAAACATATACAGCTTGTCCCTGAAGATGTAGGGACAGCTTCTCTATACTCTGTAGAGAAGGGCAGCATGCTGAGGTTTGGAAGAGGACTTTTGGGAAATCTTGCCTGTCTTTACTGATTTTATTAGAGGGTTCCTAATAAGCTTCCAAGAAATTGCAGCATTCCCTGAAATATAGTTTAATAGCCACTGTTCTAAACAAATAATGCTCACTAAGAAGCTTAACAGTGCAGACCTTATTAGATTTATATCTCACTTTGTCCTTACAACAAACTCAAAGTGGCTTGCATCATTCTCCTGCTGCTGCTCTCAGTCTTAACCCCACAACAACAATCCTGTGAGGAAGGTTGGGCTGACAGTCTGTGACTGCCCCAAAGTCACCCAGTTGGCTCCATGGCCCAGTAGGGACTAGAACCTGAGTCCCAGACCCATGCTCTTAACCACTACATCACAATGGCTCTCTATATGTCTGTTCAGGAAATAGTCCCACTGAGTTCACCTTGAGTCATCAGGTGATACATTTTCTAGTAAGTTAATTTCACATTTGCTCAAAGACAGTATGGCTCCTTAGAAGGTGTTAGTAAGAAGCCACCTGAACTTTAAAAGGTTGCCAATCAGTTTCCAAAAAGTACTGTTTTCACTCTGGAAGAGGACAGGAAGAATTCACCGGAACTTGAGAAAGCAGCTTACATCTCCTGATGACACCTTACTAGCAATGCAATTGTCAGAACAGAATGTATTACTTTTTGAAAGAATACACCAACTTCCATGGATATGGCAGCAGAACTGCACTGACATTTAATCAAAGAAAAGATCAAAAGGACAACATATTTCAACTTCTATGTCCCTTTGGATAGCAATGTGTGTGCACGGGCACACATGCATGCTAGGATTCAATAATCCAACTGTATTGGTGGAAGCTGATTTTCCCTCTCCTTCTTCTTCTCACCAGCCCACAAAGTTCCCCTTGCAAAATGTTTTCCTAAGGCCAAAGGACCTTGATGTACGGGGAAGCTGTAGTATAGGGGGCTGAAAGAAGGGTAAGTCAGATGAACACTAGGCAAAGACATCTTCTGTGAGTGGAAAATAAATGGCCTTCCACAGAATTTTGCCATCTTTCCCTTCCCACTCAGCCCCTATACCACAACTCACTCAGTGTGTCCCCCAGCTCATGGATGGTCTTTTTTGAAGGACTCCAGTGGCTGGCAGGGAGAAGAGGGGGAAGGAAAGTCACTTTCCAACAACTCTGTTATGTGGGTGGCTCTCTGCATCCAACCCCCAGCACATCAGGATTATAATTCAACAAAAAAGAAAGTTTAGCTTAGAATCTTATTTACAGACGCTAAAAGGTGCATAAGTCAGGTGGAGTGCACAGACTTTACATCAAGGTTGGTGAACACTTTATGGCTGAATATCTTATTTCCAATTTAGGAAAGTTCTCAGGGGCCACATTTTAGCAGTAGACAGGGCCAAGAACAAAATGTCTGAAGCCAAAACACATCAGGCAGAACCAGATATAAACTGTAATAATTTGGTCATTTTTCTACCAAGCATACAGACCATGGCTTATTTCTATGACTTTCTACTCAGGAATAAGCCTTGGTGAAACAGGTTTCAAGCTCATAAAATCTAACATTTAAAAATACTCAAATATTCAATACCTGGAATGATTTTAAAAGTTTTAACGTCCTTATATTACCATTCTCCTTGACCATGGATTAGAAATAAGAGTAAGGATACCGTATACTGCGCTGAAGAAAGGCTGCCTTTCTTGGGAAATCCCAGCTCTAAGCTCTACTCAGAGGTAACAGCAGGAGTTCTTGCACAAAGCTGAAGCCGCAGCTCACAGAACTTTAGATGCCTAATCATGATTCAGTCTTTGTGGGGGGGGGGGGGAATCCCCATCCCTGCTTTATATCGTTTGTTCTCATGCATCCTGTTTCTTTACTGGACAAATAATTTTATATACTTTCTCATAACTAAATAGAATAAAACAAGACAGAACTCCATAGCATTTTAACAAACAGATTTTCTTAATTATTTTCTGTCTTAAGTTTTGCTAACAACATGACATGTGACAACATTTGCATTTTGTACTTAGAACTATAGTCTTCTTATATTGATTTATAATGAACCTCTTTCAATCCTATTCATTCTGACACATAATTTTTCACATGTTCTTACAGGAAAATCATTAATGCACAGCTACTATCTCATTCTTATATTATTGTTCTCTTTTAATCTCACTGAAATACATATGCTATGCTAGTTGCAAAGTCATGTCCGACCCATCACGACCCCATGGACAACATTCCCCCAGGCTCTCCTATCCCACTGAAATACAAGTGGACAAATGCAAGGCTGAATCAAAGCCATATGTTTCTTTAATGTCTCTGGTTCTCCCTCTTTGTTCATATGTTTCTAAATAGTCTACACTGATAAGCCAGTGAGGACTGATGGTACTGTTGGGATGGTGGGAGTTCAGGACTTTTTTTTGCCAATAATGCATAGGATTGTGTCCTTAAAGCTGTTAATTATTCAGCTGTTCCTCTTAGAGACATGCATCAGATCCCAAGCCTAACTGGGGCCCCTCAGACCACTCCTAATACATTCTGAGCCTGCCTCCCTCTAAAGTGATCAGAACTATATTAGGTTTGTAAAGGCAGAACTGCATGATTCCAATAACCAGTGTTTTTGGTTTCATTTAAACACTGATTAGGGGAGAAAGGAAGAAAGAGGTTGAGTGACTGACAGGTACACCACTGAAACGTAGAACACATCCTACTAGGTGATCTCCAATCATACTTTGTGGAAAGGCATGATCTGAATAGGTCTGGGAGATGTATCTATGTATGTATTTATAGTATCTGTGTACTATTCCATATCCAATGACTTTTCAGAGCAGTGTACAGTACCAATTTGAAAGAGATAAAGAAATAAAATTAATATATTAAAACAACAAGAAATCCAAAACCATGGCTGGTCAGCAAGAAAGCTTCCCAGAACAAAGATGTCTTCAGCAGGTGCCAAAATACACAGTATTTGGTGCCTGACTGATTGCTAAAGGCAGGGAATTCCACAGAAATTGCACCACCACACTGAAGGTTCTTCTCCTGGTGGATTCCAGTACGGCCAGGCAGCCATGTGGAACCCCTAGGAAAATGGCCTCCAATGATTAGGAAAGCTGACAAGCACAAGGTGTATGTTCAAGTGCCATGTTCCTAAACTGTTCAGGGCTCTGTATGCTAGCACTAGAACCTAAAACCTGGTCTAGTAGCAAATAGGCAGCCAATGCAGCTCCTTTAGCGAGGAAATTACATGCTGAAAAGGAGAAGCTCCTAACAACAGCTGACATGCTGTATTCTGCATGAGTTTCAGCATCCAGACCAGGCTTAACAGCAGCCCCACCTAAAGCAAATGGATAAATCCAGTCTTGAGGTTACCAGGGCCTATATCACTAGGGCCTGTTCAAGAGAGCCCATAGGAAATGCCAAAAGGCACTCCAAGTTACACCAGTTACTCTGATGGAATATTCTTAGATTATGACTTTGATCTTTCAGAGGGAGCGCAACCCATCTAAAACAGGCAATGAGCCTGTCTCCCGGACTCAGGGAACTGCTCACCCACAGAGTTTCCACTGTGCCAGGCTTCAGCCTCAGTTTACTGGAGTTCATCCAGTCCATCCAGATGACTAAACTTCCAATGCTACCAGGCTTAGGCTTCACTATGAAAACAAACCTTTTAACTGGTTTTCAATCATTATGTCTCTCTAGACCCTACATTGATCCTCAGAAACTTTTCAAGTTTCTTGTTTGAAGACCCCTCTAAAATGCGTGTCATCATCATATAAATTGCCCAGAACAACACAGAGAAGGTAAAGAGAAGCAAAGCAGTCCCCTCCTCTGCCCACTGAGGACTGCTATTCCACATAAATGGATGAAACGGTTCTTCTGAAACACCGCAATTTGCTTAATCATGGAGACTTTTTATGCTGCCTCGCATTTTCAGAAAAATACAAGAAACACACGCTTTTGAATACCCTCAGATGTAAAGGCTGCTTCTGCACAAAACTCCCTGCACCTATTTTCTGAAACTTGAAAGAATTGATTCCATCAGAAGGGTAGCAAGCTAAATCTACCAAGAAAAAAATAAGAATATTAGCAGCTCTTTTTAAAAAAATCAAAATCCAAAATACTTCACCTATTTTTCTGAAATTTGGAAGATGTAGTCCCTCCAAATTGGCTACTGTACTTGCTAAATGCACATCTGATAATCAGAAAAAGAATTAGAATCTTTCAGAAATTTCCCATGATAGTAAATGCGAGGCACAAAATCTATACTTCTGAATTTCAACTAAGTTATTTGAGTTGAATCAGACAGAATCAAAAAATTGGAAGGCCAATGAGTCTTCCTCCTCGTTCCAATTCCTCAACTACTTGAGGGCTGGCTGGAACATGATTGCAATAGGAAGAAAAGCATGTGTGTAAAGTCATCCCTGGACACCTTCCTTCATATTTAAATCACTTACCTAAGCTGTGAATCTGTGTCTTCAGTGGGGAGTGTAACCCCATCCAGCACAGGCTGAATCCCTGAATCTGGTCCTCACCTTTCTGTTTTCCAATGTCTTTATCTTAAACAGTTTTTTTTCATGGTGTATGAATAATGAATGCTCAGTTTGGTGTCAATTCATCCTTTTAAGAAAACGATTTCTTCATTACTCAAACCCAAATTTATTTTTGATGTATTCCCTTTCAGGGAAATTGAATTAAAATATCTTTATATCCTATAACAAATGATCTACAATTTCCAATGATCCATGCATAATTTAGCTTATATTTATTTCATATACTTGATAATCTAGACTATCCTGAAATGTAGGTAATAAAATTCCTATTGGTTGCTCTTCTGGTATTAAAATCTTATTCAACTCTATTCCGCTCCAATATAAATCACTCCCACATACACCATATTCACAATTCATAAAAGGAAAAGGATCTGTAGCTTGATTGCTCCATTTTTTCGTCATCTCTGGTCAGATTTCTTTACTTGTTTATGATTCTGTTGGAAGTATAGTATTTTTCATTTGTGCTTGGGATGTCTAATACTGGGTTTATCCCACATGGCATTTGCAATTTCCATCTAGACACATCAGTATTCTTGAGGGGGAGGCTTCCCTCTTTATTCTAGTCATGAGACTGAGTATTGAACTTCGTCTGTCTGTCTATTTATTTATTTAACTAATATTCCACATTATCAGCCCAAGGACTCTTTAAGTGGCTTACAACAGAAATAGAAAAAACAATATAACAATCAAAAATGAACAATCAAATAAAATATATGAAACACTTAACAATATAATAAATGATTGAATTCCTTTGAATTCATATCATACTTGAAGTTTCAAGATTAGAATGAAGAAGTAATCTGACTATAACCTTCATTTTTCTATATTTTGAATCTTCTAACAACAATACCCTTGCCTTTGGGAGACTCCTTTTCCCCCTTGTGATTTCATTGGAAGCCAACAATGTGATTTTCTCAAATAGTCCAGTCCTAGAATCTAAAAGGTATTATTCACAATATATGAAGAGTATTGATACAGCCTTGATTATTTTCTTATGTATCAAATCCAAAGTGAATATTCAATACCTGAACATTCTAGGTTTATCGATGTGTAGGATCTTCTTGGATCAGGGGTCTCCAACCTTTATGGAACACTGGGCAGATTTAAATTTTTTGTGGGTGCTCTCACAAAATGCCTGTCATATAGAATTTGCCCATTCATTGACATAGTGCATGTAGCCAGTCACAAACACACATTCCCCAGAAGGCCAGTTGGTGTTGCTAAAATAATAATTTGACCAAGAATCTAAATACAAGGTAGAGGTGAACAAAGTAACTACAGAATTTTAAACAATTTATTTTTTAAAACTGTGTTCTGCTTTATGTATCACTAGGTCCCTACATGAAGCACTGTTTGCAATTCTGCCTTTGGTCAACAGCAGTGACAGGCAACTTTGGGTGAACATTTTTGCCCTCCCAGAAACTCCTCCTGAAGAACATGCTCTTTGGGGCACTAGCTAAAAAGCTGGCAGTTTCCCACTGAAATCCAGGAGGCACTGCAATGGAATTGACATAGAATCAAATGTGGCTTGTTTTTCAAGCTAAATTAGAACATTTAGTACTCTGTGCTGCTAACAACAGTGACTGTTTGCAAATGAATTTGGCAGAGTTGGGGCTCCATGCAGTTCGCAGGCTACATGATATCTGCCCCTGTTCTAAGTATTTCCTTTTATATATGAGAGTCATAATTGATCTTTTCCAACCTATTCAGTCCAACAAAACTGTCTTCCAATTGAAACATTATTTCATTCTTACAAGAAGATAATTACTACAGATGTGATTGATGCTCATGTCCAACTCAGATGTTGACTCAGTGCTTTGGAAAGTAGTCCAATATTGTTCTGCTTGTTTTAGTTGCTGTCTACTTCAGCTTAGAACCAATCCTGTGTCAAGTTCAAAAATCTGAGACTTTGTACCTCCTTACTAACTATAATGGAAATTCAAGATATAGTCTTAACTCCCCCCCCCCCCATGCCTCTTCATCTGAATGATAATTGAGAATTATATCTCCCCAATCTTGGATAGATAGGTACGGGTACCATGTACCTTTAAGTATATTGGGGGGAGGGCAGGTGATAAAGTAGCACAACAGCAGAACAGCAGGCTCCAGATTCCCTGGGGATACATATTTTAATAAGATTGACCGTAAGCTAGACAGCCTAATTTCAAATAATATTTAGAGCTACATCACAGCTATTGATGAAGTTGGCAACCAAAACATTTAGCTCAAAAAGTATTTTGAAATTACAGTTATTAGTCTATCTAATGTTTTGTATGTATATATGAAAATTGCCAATAATGTTTCTGTTACTATGAAGAAATGAATTAAAACTGTAGGAATAGTTGCTACTACAGAGCATATCAAGCTGCCAAATCTTAGGATGATGGTTACAAAGATGTTTTGTACAAGAGCAGCCTTAACATTTTTAGGATCTCCAAAAGTGGACATGCTTTGCCCCTTATGTTTCTTGTGGACCATTGTTCTTAAGATTACATATGTCCTTAAGTAAAAGGAGCTGCAAAGTTTCAGAAGGAGAGGTGCAGTGTTCATATGGAGGAGAAGCCCTCAATTTGGAGGGACAGGAGGAAGTGATTTGCTTGGCCTTCCTCACTCCTATGCTTTGAGGGGTAATTGCACACACCCTAGATGTGCCCCAGACAAGAAACTGGTCATTTCAGATACACAGATTCAAATGCAAGAGTTATGGAGCTTAAATCAGTTTAAGAGTTTTCATAGAGAAATACAACGGTACTGGAAGAAGGTTCATTCTTTGGTTCCATCCCCTCACCATCACAACTGCTCTGGACAATCCACCAAACTGTACTACTCTGAATGACTGTACAGCTGCAGCACTGTGGGGGGAAGACTTCACAACTTTTACTATTATTAAAAAGATTGGTGGTTGAATGTGCAAGCAAGGAAGCTGAGCAAATAATGTGAGAAGACTCCTGCTGCATAAACAAACAGAAATGCCAAAAATATCACCAAAGCAGTAAAGTGCTGAGCACAGCCAAAAGGAAAATAAAAAGAACTATCTGGGAAGAAGCTTGAAGAGCACTTTTTGAAGTAGAACTGAGCAAGGCAATTTATCCCCACCACCTTAATGCCTCATTTGAAGGACTAAATAAGCCCACAAGAATGGAGTTCTCTTTCCTTCACCCCTACAAATAAGAGTCCCCTTTGCTCAATACTGCTTAAATTGTACTATTTAACTGCTATATGAGACACGATGCATAGACCTGGATTTGTTTGACCCACACAAGAGACACATTGATAATTTGAGCCACAAAGGCATACCTGGACTATCTGGCCCATTAAGGTATTGTACTTTGAGGGTTTATAACTACAGAGGAAGAGTTAGAGGCATAAACAAGACTACTGAGGCTACAAAGTGGTATGAGCACATTTCTAGAGGGTGCCATGGTAGATCACACTGGTAGCAGGAAGCACTGATGGGCACAACAGTGAGGCTACCTGAGTGCTTTCTTGTTTATATATTCATATTTGATGTACTTAACTCTTAGTATGACATTTTAGTCTTGGAACTGATTGTAATCTAACCAGAGAACATTGATTAGTTGGTGAAATAAAATAATAATAAATACTATCTCAGGCTTAGACTGACTGCACTGACAGTGCATGTGGAGGCTGGCAGGTGGCAGTGGCAGCTGAAAGCCTAGCTGAGCGAGAAAATGGGGATGAAAGAGGCAAGAAGCAGCAACAGCAACACAGCAGGATTCCAGCAGTTGCATTGCTTCACCTCCTAGAGCACAGTGTCCCAGCTGCCTGCCTGCCCTAAACTGTTATACTACAAAAGGAAATGCTTTGTCCAAAGAGCAGCAGAAACTTGCTGTGCAGCACTAAGGTGAAAAGACCATTTCTGACCATGACACCAACATAACAGGGCAAGTTCTCCGGATGGAGAAAGTGGAGGTGGTCCAGGAAAAGAGGCACAGACCACCCACACCACATGAAAAAGAACATCACCAATATAATTAATTCTTTATAATTAAAAAGCATAATGTGAAACAAATACAAAACAAAGACTAAGCAAGAACTTGGTTGCAATCATATTTTCCAAGGGCATGTCAAACTGTACTGCCTGCCTCCCATAATAGACTACAAGCTGGCAATAAAAGATGTGGAAGGGGGTGCTGTATGTGCATGTGCATGACCACAAGACCCAAAGAATGAAGTTTAGACTTCTGTTGCTTAGCAAATAATGGGAATTTCATTAAACCAAATTTGGAAAAGAAAAATTTTTGTGTTGAATGCAGTGATATTTTTGTTTCTGTTCTTGTTAATAAAAAATAATAATAAATTATAATGTAATGCAGCATGTACTAAATAAAATCAAGAGAAAAGGAGAAAGGCACCAAAACACATTGGTAATCATAAATTTATAGTACAAAATTCGTAAGGGGGAAACAAACCTGTTGGCTTGAACTGCCTGTCTAAAACACACAAAGCAGAGTAAATTTCAGAACAAAACTAAACACAAATATTATAAGTTATAATTAATGAAAATACTGATGTGCTGCAAATGTTTGAATGAAACCAAAAAATAAATATGGCAACAAAATGATGGGGAAATTCAATGAGGAAAAAGGTTCAAATTGAACTATATGGGAAAAGAATGACTATGTAAGGCACTAGCACTGTTCTCATGATATGACAGGTAACCATGGGTTATTTAACTCACAGTGAGACTATGGTATATGCAGGGGACATGCAGCCATCATTTTGATTATTCAATCTCCATTCAGAGGTTTTTATGTTATGCAAACTCACTGAGTTTGTGTTATACAAAGGTTAAACAACCCTAGCACAACCCATTATCAGTTTTAGGGTTACAAAAGGCTTGTTTAACCCTCACATAATTCATGCTCTCAATTTTCACAACATAACAACCCCCAAGTTGGGCTTATATATTAACTTGTTGTCCATGAATGCCATGTCTTGCCTCAAATCCAGCCACTGTGAACTGCCTGGCAAACCAAGAGACATCGATAGAAACAAAGGATATGTTTACACAAATACACAAACAAGAAAAATTACAGGAAAATTAAATTCAAATAATTTAATTCCTTTTCATAGCCAGGAAAAGGGAAATTGGATCAATACACAATAAGCAACACAGAACTACTGAGAAATCAAAGGCTATCTAAAAGAGAAAGATTTTGCAGGAAAAATGCTGATAGAAGGATTAAGTTAAAGCAGAAAGAATTAAATCATGAACAAAAGGAGACAAAAGCTGATACTAAGCTACTCCATCCGAACTCACAAGAAATACCTACCAGTTCACTTCCCAGTCCCAAGCAGTTGCACCACAGAACTGCAAGCAATGGAAAGCACTGAAATTTTGACTGAAACATTCAATGGAACTCAGTCTTTTCCCAAAAGCACAATCACCTGATCCCCTGGTAAAATATACCCTAGCAATAGTAGGTGGACCTGTGGTCACTCAAGTACTCCCCTCCATCCACCCTCTACTTGCTAATTGCTCTGGGGAAACAAAACCTAAGCGACTTTTGTCATTTTTCTTTTTTTGCCTAATGCCTCCCCCCCCCCCAAAAAAAAAAATCCTCATAATTTCTAAAACATGAGTTCTTCACAAAGTCTCTCTTGGGAGCAGAGTTGGTGTAATTGCCTTCTGTGGGAAAAAAGCTTGGATGCTAGAAGCAACGTAACTGAACCATTCCTGTTCTCAGGTTTCATCCAAAACTTGATGCACAGCTCTAATGATAACTATACCAATAACTTGCTCAATCTTACCTAAAACACTGTTCTTTCACCCATAGATTCTATGATACTGGCCAAAACTAGAGTTAAAATGTATTGCAATCCCATACCCACTTATCTGGGAATAATTCATACTAATTTCAATGGACTTTACCTCGGAGCTGAACTGTATAGGATTGCAGTGTAAATCTAAAGTTGACTAAGGCAAGAGAAACAAACCCATTTTTTCATTAACATCTATTAAGTTGTGTTTGGATGATTTTATCTTGTCTTAGCAAACTGAGACATTTACAATCTATTTGCATATACATATGGCCCCTTTAGTCCTCCCTTCATCTGAACTGACAGTTAGCTCCTGCGAGCTGGCAACTAACAATGGCTTAACCCATTTCATCCAAACTAGGAAACTGAAGTGCATTAAACTTTGTGTAAGCTGACACTATCATGCAGTAGAAATTCCTCATTCTTCTGCTGCAGTCCCCTGCACATACCAGTGAGTCCTGAAGCCCACCAGCACTGTTTTAGGAGGCTGCAAAGAGAACTCACTCAGGTGCTATGTCAATGAAAGGATATAATTTAACTCTCACATGAACAGTTTAGGATCAAGTCAGGACAGTAATCCAATTTGAAACCTGGTTTAATATCCTGGCTTGTTTTGAAGTTGTTAACCATAGATCCTCAGGTCAAATGCAATGGGAAATTATAGTTAATTGAAGACTTACTGGTATGTTTGCTAGTGTGTGTAAAGGGAGGAGCAAGTGGGCTGTATACACAAGTAAAAGAGTTGTTTGTATTTCAGCCCTGCAAGTTCATCTGTTAGCATCAGTATCTAGAATTTTACCTTGATCAGGCTCGAAGTTATCTCTTCACTTTTCTGACTTGCTTTTTTCTGAGTCTTTATTTTCTGAAGATAGTATCCAGGACTTCTCAATATTAATGCCCAGAATTTGAGCTACCTTGTCAAGTTCAGATTGTTTCTTTTCTGCAGCAACAACATTCATTTCCAGTTGAGCAACTTTATTTGCAATATTTTCTTTTTGTCTGTTCACTTCCACTAGCAAGGGGTCTATCTCTTTACGTTTCTTCCGCAGCATCCCCTCTTGAGTTGGTCAGAGTGGTGGAGTAAGAAGCACAAGAAAATCATGTTAATATATGCAAAATGATTGTAGATCATCACGCTTAGTAGATACAATAGCTCAGTTCAACTGCCAGAAGTTGGGTGTATTACTGAATGTAGAACTGGCAAAATACTGCCTACAATGATATGCACCCTATTTAATTTCCCAATCAGGCATGCCTAGGAAAGGAAAAAGGAAAACATAATCCCACTCTTTCCAGAACATTATTCAAACCCAATTCTCTTCACTAAAGAGCATTCCAGGTAAAAAAAAGACACATAAAATGAGACAAAGCAGTACCTTGCTGTTTTGAAAGCCTATTTAACTCAATCCTCAAATAGTGTAGTTTCTTCTGTTGTACTTCTTGTTCATCCTTCAGCTTTGCTCTTTCCTGTATTATCTGAAGGACATGAAGGCATTAAAATGGCCCCTTTCACTAACCACAGTCAAGCTACCACCACATGGACCACTATGGTCCATGGACCACTATGAACCACTATGGACTTGCAATGCTTCTTTTTGAATCTGAAGAATTGCAATAATCCTTTTTAAAATGGTTTAAATAAAGTTGATGTAAGACTTATTCAATATCAACAATGCACCAATTGTAAAAATGATTAACTGTTCAGATGTTCATTTAAGAGTTAGATGTCTGTCTTTAAATGTTTCAGCATGACTCAGTATGGAAGCACTATATTAACAGTACTGCCTCTAAAACTCTCATATTTTCACAAAAACAATCCCTTTATTTTTCTATCCCAGTCTATCTGACCTGGTATGCTGGTTTCCCTATTAAGATAATAGATTGATGTTTATTTTACCATATTGAAAGATGTCCTGTTAATTCTTTTTTCCCAGAAAGATGGTATTGTTAGTTGTGCTGCTAACCACAAAAATGTTAAGAGATCTTTGTGCCTTGAAGTCTGTTTGCTCAAACCCAATGCTGGAGGGAACTCAGTTTTTTGGTTTGTGATTTCTGCAACCACTTACAAAATGTTTTTTCTAGAACTGATTAATTGTGGGACAAAGCCTCCACATATGAAAGTATGTGTTCATGTTTTCACAACCTGTATTTCTGTGATTTAAGGTTTAAGTTTAAATTCATTTCAACTGTCAATGATCCTCTTTAAATGCATCTCTATTTGCAATGTTTCTTTCAAAAATTGTTTGAGTTATAAATGCATCCTAGTGTTATTTTTTCATCTCTGAGGTTGCCTTTAGCAAATATAACACAGTGAATCCACTGAGGTTTCAAAAATATTTATCTTTCATTTGATAACTTCCACTATTGTCACTCTTATTGATTTTGAATCAGTAATCATAAATAATGATTTGAAATTGTTCTCTGAATTCGTATTTGATGTAAATGTAGCTTTTACCAGAGATGGAAGTAATTTCTTATATACCATTTATGTATTGGTACATAGTCCTCAATTTTTTGAGTCATTTAAGCATAATTTGGAAAACAGGACTCAGTCCCTATTGGTATGTACCATTATGGCCTGGAGATATAGGTACAAAGGCAAATGCATCCATCCATCACAATAGTAAGACACTCAGAAATATGCCTATTAGGAGACCATTCAACTATGTGTTTCTCATTTACAATGACTACGTTGCAGGCAAATGTTTTGATATGTCAAAAGAGGGAAAGAAGACTGAAAAACAAAGACAGAAATGTAGCATTGTTATGAGTTAATTATGTACTCTAAGTACTAATTACATTGCATGTATATCCTACTTTGTTTTCCTCTTGTGAGTAACTCAAGGCAGCTTATATAGTTCCATGTTATACTCACAACAACAATCCTACCAGGTTGGTTGGGCTGAGAGTCTGTGACAGGCCCAAAGTAACTCAATGAACTTCATGGCTGAGCAGGATCTAGAACCCAGAATTCCCAGGTTCCTAGTTGAACATCCTAACCACCATACCATACTGGCTCTTGTGTACTTTGGTAAGTATCAAACTAGTTAAATACTCACCTGTTGCTTCTGAGAAGTTCGATTTCTTTCATCAGATATTTTTTCCTTATCACTTTTTTGAGAAGACAACTGAAGTAAGTCTGAGGAAGAAGAAGTGGTAGGTCTCTTTCCGCGTTTCTTCTTAGGAGTCACTTTGCTTGGGGGAGCTCTCTCAAGAGCTCTGAGGTTGGGCCGTTTAGGATTTGGTAATGCCTTTCGCTGGACAGGCCCCTGTATGGCCGAAGGTCCAGGGACAGTCTGCTGAGTTAACATGGGCCAGTCAGAAGTTGCATAAGACGTGTAGAGTCCGTATGTATTACAGCCAGGAAATGCTATTGTGGGAAGTGGATAGTTTTGTGTATGACTTGCAGTGAATGATGAAAAGTGTGGAACGTACGGGGGGAAAAAAGTGGGAGTAGGGCACAAATCAGGAAAAGGTGGAGCTGATGGGATTAAAGTTATTGAGGGAGCAGGCTGCTCTGATGTGCCAGCAGAACTATCCTGCCAAACAGCATTGCTTTTATTGTGCTCCAAGTTTGAAACAGAGGATTTATCTTTATAATATAATGGGAAAGAATCAGAGGGTGACAGCGCATACTCCTGGTTTGCCTCTAGAGAATGTATGTCACTTAGACCTTGGTGCCTCTTCTGAAATTCTGGTTTATGAGATGCTACCAAATGATGTTCAGGAGAACAAGATCTTTTTTTCCCACGGAGCCGTTCCTTAGTTCGGGCAGCAAGCTTACCAATTTCAGCCACCCCAATGTCAAGGCCAATAGTTTTGAGTAAGTCATGGATTTTTTCATATTCTAGTCTGGCCTCTTCTGATGTGTCTATTTTCAGAGATTGATTAGGATGAGATGGAGAAGTTACTCTCTGGCTTGGTACACATTCTCGCTCATCTGTTAGCATCGGCTTTTGAGCAGAAGGTAAGCTAGCAATAGATCCTACTTCATCACCATAAAGAAATTTCTCTTCATCCTCAATGTCATCCAGGAAGCTGCACCTCCTCTTCTGAGCACTTGCAGACTCTGCCATTATGTCCAGAATGCAAGAAAAGACACTTGCATCCTGGCTGGCTCTTTCACGAGGAAGCACAGACTCACTGTGCCTGTTGACAGGCTCCACTGTCAACTCATGAAGCTCTTTCTGTTTTAAAAAATCCCCAGAGTTCTGTTCAAAAGAAAAAGGTTCTGTTGATTAATTGATCATACTTTTAAACTGTTCAATAACCAAAATTCTTAGGGCAGTGTACAATACATCAAACACACAAAATGTTAACATTAAAATCAAAAATATAATCATCACAAAATAAGATGAAGATTCCTACTTATGGCAGTGGCAGTGGCATGATAAAAAAGACACATCAGCATATTGTTAGAAATCAGTACATTTTTCCATGCAGAAACTAGATAAGGATAGAGAGAGATGCCAAGGAAAGTACTTGACCTATCAGTTTATTTTTTAAAAGCAATTCAGAATACTAATATTGGGCTCCTCAGTTTCAAGCAGAGAAAAAACTCGCACTAGATGATCTAAAGCTTGAGGATCAAATAGCATTTCTCTGCTCCATCCTCCTTCCATAGAGATGTAAATGGAGAGGCCTTCTTGGTGGTGGCATCCCCTTATTTTGAATGGTTTCTACAGGGAGGCTTGTACACTGTCATCTTTTTGATGCCAAGGTAAGACTTTCTTCAACTCTTTCTACCGGAAAATATAGAAATAAAATCAACACATAAGGGTGCAATCTTATTAATTGCAGCTTTGATGATTGTAAGTTCTTGAACTTGGAAGCTTACAATCAACCTACAGTATGTAGGGGAGAAGGAGCTGAGAAGGTAATTTCCATTATCACTGCCTGGATGCAGCTTGCGGTGGCATCCAAGAAAGATGAGCTGTTGTAGGGTTACTGGAAATTTATTCCCTTATCCAGCAAGTCCTGTATCTCATGCTTGCTGGAACATGCTGTGCTGTCCATTACAGATATAGTACTTCAGATATAGTGACCACTAAAGAGATATAGTGACCATCAAGGATAAGTCACGGTTGCTGATTTTGATTATGCAAACTACTTCAGTGATTGAAGCCTACATTGTGATCTGAGGTTGTCTGTTTTGGAGATTAACTTAAATATTAAGGTCAAATAAAAAGCAGGAAAGTGTAAATAACAGTTTACAAACCTGCATTAAAGAACCATCCACCTGTTTCTTCAATATAGATTTTTTGGGCATTGCTAGAGTGGCAGCAGGGCTATAATGGTACTGAGGTTCAAATGACTGTGCTGGGTTAATTGAGCCAGTGCTAGGCAGTTCTTGACTTAGATTTTGGCTCCGTTCCAGTTCCTCCCTTTTTCTCCTAGCACTTACAAGCTTAAGGAAATCTTCATCCAGGTATGTTGGGCTTGGACCTCCACTAAGACTTTGTGCATAGTATGTTTGTGCTTCGGACAAGAGACACTGAGGCTCCATGTTTCTATCAAGCAGTCCATCATATCGAGGGTGTTTTGGTTCTCTCCCTCTATCCTCTGATAAATACAGGGATCTCCCAAGCACCTCACCACGCGTATCGGTTTCTCTTGGTTGATCACGTAGATGGTCATAGTTCATGCTATAATCTGACTGGCAAATGAACACATCCCTACTGTGATAGTCCACATCACATCTCACTTTGAAACAGCTAGAAGAATTTTCCTCAAGAGAAGGATATTGCACAAGGCTTCGAGAAGGTAAAAGGCTTCTGCTAAATATTGCACCATCAGCCAGGTCATCCCTGATGAGAGAAGCACATTTGTTATATCATCAGCAACTGGAACACAGGCTGGCATACAGTAGGCTGTCTATAGCAAGTCAATACTTCTTGCTTTAAACCCAACATGGTGGGTTGCAGATTTTGCACTGTTGGAAATAGAGTCACCCACCAACCACCACAAACTATGTTGCTTCTATGGAAATAACTAGACTTCTGAAGATAGGATACATATTCAAATAGAAACAGAAGGGAAGAGCCAATCATTCATGGCACTCTGGATCCAATCTTAATTTTTTCATTGTGGTATTGAACCATTTCTGTATGTGCATATGTGGTCTGCCTATGGCCAGCCAATACTTTTTGCTTTAAACTCAATATAACCAGATAACCAATACAACTTGATATTTGCATCTTCAGGAATAGTGTCATCCACCAACTACCACAAATTCCCTCTCTCTTTCTTTCTCTAACACATACACAGTTAATCTTGTGTAAAGTTTGTAACTATGTGTCTATTTTGTGAGGGGCACATTTTGATCACTATTAAAACAACAATCTCTTCAGATCATATAAAACTTATTTGACCAAACTGTAAATAGTTCTCTCTCTCTGCAATGCTTAACTATACTTCCCTGAACCATAGTAAAATTATTCTTGCCACTGCCGTTAATATGGCTGTAAAACTTTCTGAAGGATTGGCAGGGTCTCCCAAAAAGGATACGTTATCTGCCCAAAAGACTAAGTACAAAGCAAAGGTGTGATCTCAGCTCCAAGATACAAAAGAGATAATTTAAACCTACAGTTTTCTGTGTAAAAAACAAAAAACCTATTTCACAAAAGGTAAAGTGTTTTAATCTCTCTTCCCTCTTTCTACAAGCCAGTGCATTTTGCCCATCCCATCACTTTTTTCTCTCAGCCATGTACACAAGAACATTCTCTCATCCCTGCAACATACCTCACACAATTACAAGCATCTCACATATCCATAATGTAGGCATAAACATTCATGCATACACATTGTTGTGATCATGTCTTTCCCCTTTCCAACAGATAAAGGAGAGACTTCTAAAATATAGCCTTCATTGAACTAGAATGGCCAGTCAGGCCTAACTTTGTAATAAAGAGTAAGTACAGTGGTACCTTGGCTCACGAACTTAATCCATTCCACGACTCTGGTTGTGACCCAAATTGGTTGAGACCCAAGTCAAATTCCCCCGTAAGATTCAATGTAAATAAGGCTAATCCATTCTGCCCCCTCCGAATGTGGTGTGAGCCAATCTTTGGTTGTGAGCCAAGTCAAATTTCCCCATAAGGTTCAATGTAAATAAGGTTAATCTGTTCTGTAACTATTTTTTTAATCAGAAAAATTTGAAACAAAGTGACAAAGAACAACAAAGTAACAAAGTACTGCACAGAGGAGAACACTAAACTAGGTAGGGGGGAGGTTATTGTTTTGAGGGAGAGTCCCCCTCCATAAGGACAGTGGGGAGATCTCTTTCAGGAGTTTCCTCTCTTCTTTGTCTCTTAGCTGCAGGGTCAAATTTGGTGAAAAATCTGTCTATAGTCACTTGTTTTTTAGTCACTATAGTCACTGTGCTGCATAACCCTCTGGAAATGAGAGACCATGTTATCATTCATAAGATTCAACACTCTGTTCTGGGGTGGTGCTTCTCAAAGAATTCCTGGCACTCATTCCATTTTTCATAATGGATTGTATCACATCACTGCTAACCTCCTCCCTGTCTTCCTCTTCCTCAGTGGAATCCTCCTCAGCAAGTGCCTTCTGCTGCTCACTCTGGAATTCAGCAGGTTCTTCTGTTGTCAGCTCCTCTATGTCTTCCCTGCACGAATGCAACTGCAATCATGGCCATCTCCCCACTTGAGGCGGGGGGGAGATGGCTGTGATCTTGGTTGCCACCCAATGCGGAGTTTGCAACCCAAGCCAAAATTTTCATGAAATTTTTATTCATGATCCGACTTGGTTGTGAACCAAGGCGTTTGTGAGCCGAGACACCACTGTAATAATAAAGTTAAAAAGTATAATCAAAGTAATGATTCCTTGAATTGATAGAGTTAGTACTTGCCCATGTCAGGAATTGATTCCAAACTGAGTCCTGCTCCTCCCTTCTCCTCCACTCTCAGGGAAGTCCATGCTGTTTGTGGGTCAGACAGCAGGAAAACTGGACAGTATTTATTTGGTCCAGTCACTTGGCTTCACTATAACGTACTGGATAGCTCACGCCCCCCCTCCGTACCTCCTTGTTCTAAGTGTCTCCCTGAATCTGTTTTTCACCAGTCACTTGGCTAATCTTGCTCAATAACCACGGCGTTTCAGTAATACACTCCAACTCCAACTCCCCTTCTTCCAGCTCACCTCAGAGTCTGAGCTTTCCAGCTTGGAATACTGCAATTCAAGAGAAGCAGGCCCAATTCTAACACATAATCTCTATTCTTCTCCTAATTGCAAAAACCTCACTTGGTATTTTTCAGGATTCTTCCAACCTTTCCCCTTCTATCAGGATCATCCTTAATCTTCTCTCTCTCTCTCTCATATATCCCTCCCATTCATTCAATGATACATAGCTCAAACATTTTACATTGGGGAATGATGATGATGATGATGATGAATTTAATCTTACTGTTGGGTTTTTCGTTAAAAGGTTTCCTATGTACTTTGCAATTACTTGGAAACACCAATATGAACATAAAGGGGAAGAAAGCAAAACACTTCTGTTCCAGACCAGGAATTTTCAATTACACCCATACAATGTATTTTTCACACCTTCTCACAGAAAGCTTGGTGTTTCATATCTTGCACAGGACAAGGACTGAGAAGTTTAACAGGTTCTTCTTCAGAAAGCCATACCTGTCCATACTGCTATCAGCAGAGCCTAATCGCTTTCTTTCAGGTGAATCAAGGATGTAACAATCATTGTCAATTACAATTTGCAAGCTCTGTTCCACTGAAGATTCAGAATATCGACTTGGAGAGTGCTGGCTTGGAGAAGGTGGGTGCTGGCCCAGGAAATAGCTCTGCAATTGGAGTGGGAGGGGAGACATTACATAATTCCAGTTATCCTTTTAATAAAAACCAGGTATGAAAATCCTTCCCACATACCTAAATATATTACAAATGAATTACACAATGCCTTTTAAAAATAATGAAATGTAATAGCAGATTTTACTGCATGTCACTGACAATCTGTAACATACAACACATCTAACTTTTCCCATCTCCAAAAAAGTCTTCTGAGAATAAATGTGTACATAGAAAATGTAACTAGAAACAGAGGGATTCACTTTGAAAGTTTCCTCATTTCAACCTGGAAGGGGTATTCAGTTTGGAACTAACTTCTTATCCTTAAGCAGCTTTTCTCCAATAGTCAGTATTTTAACCTTGCTTGTTTCTTTTGTTATTGATTGCTGCTTTTAGGCTCAGGTTCCTTTTTTTTTTTTGCATTTAAACTATTTTTGTGTTTATTGTAAGCCACATTTTATGGTATGGCATACAAGTAAAGAAATAAATGCAGAAATGCACCCATCCATGGGTGCATCTTTCTAAAAACAGGTTGAATTTAAACCAAAGACATAATCCAAACAAGCTAATTTAAATCAGAATTTGTTTAGGACACTGGAAAAAATCAGTGAAACTTGCAGTACAAAATTTTATGTGAATTGAAGTCCCACTAATGGACTTCATCCTGCTCCAGCCACCCTATTGATAAACAAATGAGAATAGTCCATTCAAAACATTTTTTAAAAAAGAGAAATCTTCAAATTATACAAAGCGTCCTGTTCACAAGAAAAAAAAATATAACCATTCCCCCAAAGTGCTCAAGTGGTTAATTGGAGGGGCTGTCACTGGATAGTCATGCCATTTTAAATTTGAGTTCAAAATGTGTGCAAACCTTTTTCTAATTCTGTAATTTTTAATTTAAAATTATAACGCAATTCAAAAAATTATAGTCAGACTTACTCAAGTGCAGAGATGCACACTTCCATGGATCCAAAATGGGAAGCCTCACCTTAGCAATGTCCTGAGGGATACCTGCTGTCAAAATACAGCAGATGCCAACTCTAGACATTGGCCCAGAAATGCTTCAAATAACAAGCAGGGACGTTCATATGTATATTTTCCTGTCCAAATTACACTGTTTTGCCATGCCCAAAACCCTGCTAAAAATACTTCTGATAGCTGTCAAAGAAGGATAGGTACACTTTCACCTCCCTGAGCACGTAAAGTATCTGGAATGGTGAAAAGTTGGGAGAACTGGGATCCAGGGGAAGGACACATGAAATCTTGAGGATTTCACTGTGATGCAAGGAGAAAGGATGCCAAACTGTTTCACAAACAGGGATCACATACAATTTTGCTTTGACTTGATGTCTTGCCTTTTGACAGGTATCAAGAGAAAACAAAGTTTAAACAAAAGAAAAATTTGAAGCTTCTCTGGCAATTTTACAGCAGGTATCCTCCAAGGACATTGCCCAGGAGTTTTTACATTTTGCGCCCATGGAAATAAACGCAAACATGTCAGTCTATTTTTTAAAAACTAAAAACATTAGGAAAAAATGCTCACATTTAGAAAATTTTTTGAAAGTTATTGCCAACCAGTGTCAGTCTTTTCAATGTGCACTTTCCAAGATCATAAAGAGCAGCAAGGGTTTCTGCTGCTTTTGCTAAGCACCTCACTCAGTGCTTCACTTTACCATTGGTAGGATTGTTTGGGATCAGCTGATGTGACAACCCATCATGGTGGCACAACCCCTAGAATAGGGGAAACTAAAACAAAAGAAGCTAGCTTGTAAGTAGTCAAGCAGTCTCAGTTTGGACAACACCACAACTCACCATTGGTTGTTGTGTCATGCAGTGTGAACCAATACTAGCCTTGGCTATTGATAGCTATAAAAATGAAATAAATGAACCAATAATGATAGGGAAAATAACCCATAATGCAGACACTTCCATTTATTTCACCTGCAGGGCAGCTTTAGAAAAATAAATTTGTGTAAACCATTTATGTAAAATATGATTTCAGTTTACATTTACAGTGCAAAAATAGGAGCATGAAACTACACCAGGTGTAGTTTCAAATGGAAAGTTATCACAGAATATTCTCTTCAAAAAGTCTTCATGCCCTTCGCATAAAGTCTGAAAAACTTAATGACAGCAACTGATTCCAGAGATGTACTTCAGAGAATACTGGTAATCAAAGATATGCTGAATACAAGTTTATTCTAAACAGCATTAACCACTCACAATTAGATGCAACTACTCAGAGGTGGCCAGGCTGCTCGCCCCTAGCCCAGGGAGGTAGTCATTACCCACTTCAGAAGGAAGGAACAGGGCGCCTCCCAAAACTTCACAGAAAAGTTGGGGAAAGGAAAGCGCCAGCAGCCATTACCACTAACATGGAAGGGAAAGGAGAAAGCGGAGTACATGTTCCGAGGCCGCTCCAACTCCCCCGTGACAGACAGCGTACCCTACTACTGCGGCGAGAGGGCGGCGAGCAGCGGCTGCTGAACGGCGAGAGGCGGCGGCGGCGCCAAGGAGAGGGCGAGCGCCGCCGGCTACGGGCACCAGTCGACCTGGAAGTGGAGGCACCGGAGCGGGAACTGTAGGAGCCCGAGCTGCTGCTGCTGCTGCTGCTCTTGTAACGCCAGCTGGAGGACGTCATGGCCGGGCGGCCGCAATCAGTACGGTGCATAACGGCAGTAGCGTCACCGGTCCAGAAAACGTCCGGGACCGACCTCGCTCGCTCGCTTACCCGCCTTTAGCCTGATCCTTTCTATTGACCTCCCCCTCAGCACGCTCCAAGCGCATTGGTCGCAAGCACCGGACGTGAGTGAAGGCGAAGGGAAGAAACGTTTCCTTGGATGCCCTTTCAAAATGGCGGAATTGGAACTTGAGTCACGTGGCTCGAGAAAGGCGGGGTGGAGCGCGCAAGGGAGCGCGCTCTCTGCGTCTGCTAGTCGGTCGCAGGTTGGTGTGTAGACAAGATATACAAGCTCGCCTTTCCCGCTGTAGGGAAGACCAAAGCAAGCAGAGGAAGCACTTCTGTACTAAAATAGGAACAATTGCTTCTTTCCGAGACTTAAAATTCAGGGGGTAAGAAGGGTGGCTACCACAGAAGAATTGCAATAGCACACTCCTACACATGTTCTCCAGCAACTGTGCCCTTAAGCGTACTGCCTCTGATACTAGAGGTAGCAGGTAGCCCTTGATAGCCTTGTTCTCCAGCAGACCATCCTCCAGCAATTTGCAGATAAAATCCTGCTCATCTATCCAAGACAGCTATGCTGCATTAGACATTCTTCCAAGTGGTTCCAAGTATCCTACCACCAACTAGTACATACGTGCATGCATCATCTTTATACAATCCAAACTCCAGTGGTGTCGCAAGCACATAGGAGGGACTTTCCAGAACAACGTTCCCATTTATATGAAGGAAATCTTAGAAGATTTCACATTGCACATTGCCTTTTATTTTGTGTGTGTGCATATTTTTGTTGCGATGTGCACTGCACAGAATGCATGACACAAATTGGATATTATCCTCACCAATGCACAAAGGACAAAAATCAATGGGAAATAAAAACTGAGTGCAAACTGCAACATACGGACTAACACAAGTTACATCTTGAAAAGTATTAACAGCATGTACCCTGTCAACAATCGAGTATATTAATCCTTAGAATTCTACAAAGTTTTTGGAAGAACAAATAGAAACCGTGTGCATATAACCTGATCTGTCCAGCAGAGGTGTTACAGAATAACGAAGAGATTGTGTATTTAATCTCCCCGTGGAGCCTTAAGATGGTCCTAATATGCTTTCTGTCTGATTTCAGCCTTAGTAGATACTGCTAAGCTTATGTTAGGTTCAATAAAACTTATTTTCAAATATTTATTTCCAAATAAGTGCATAGAATTGCAGCCTTTGGTGGCCTTCTGAATAGGAATGTTAAGGCTTAGGTTTAATTCTCACAAGTACCACATGAGGCAGCATACCTTTCTAGAGCCTATTTGATTTGAGACTCTGGGGGAAGCTCATATGATGCAGTTTACCCAAAAAATCAAACAATCCCCAAATCGCTACTCCTCTGCTGTTTGTGAGAACTGGGCCTCTGTTAAGGCAAGCACCAGAGACCATTGCATATCAGCTGTTCACTGCATATTAATGGAGAATAAGGGCAATACTCATTCTGGCCATATATTGCTCCCAGTATCAGAGGCACAGTGGCCCTCAATACTGGTTTCTGGGGAACAGGAGCAAGAGGGTGCTATTGCCCTACTATCCTGCTTGTCCTCTTCCTTCTGGGGCATCTGTGTGACCTCTGTGGGAACAGAGTCCTAGCCTACCTATGCCTTGCTGATCTCAAAATCCCTCTTGTTTTTTTCCTTCTTCCTAATGGATTACTGAAGGCATTGGATTTTTATTTTTTCTGCACATAGCCATGGGCAAGCTATGCATGGTCTGCAAATAAAGTTCCCTGTAGATGAAGCCTCCCCCCACCATTTCATTCATGTTTTTAGTCTCAATAACCCCAGAAAAACACCTCATGGCTTTGTTCTCAAGTAGCTTTACTTCACTCTGTCCCATTCCCTGACATAAAACTTTTCTTACTTTTTGGAGCACATTGCCTGCCCTGACTTGATACAGAACATTGAAGTTGAAATGCATTGAAAAATTCTGTTCAAAGTTGATACCTTAACACATTTGGTATTTCTTATTCTCTAAAGCCAGCATAGAAGAACAACATACACCAAGCTGACATAACCACAAAATGCCTACTTCTTTGCTTCCTTTATTCTTCTAAAATCCATCCATTCTCAGCTGCTTCCCTTCCATTTTGTTTCCCAGCTGTTGTACCTTTCCCCTTTCTACTGTCTCTAATGCCTGGAGCAGCTTCTCCTGTCTCTCTCTCTCTCTGTTCCTCCAGACTGTAAACTTCTTCCCCAGATCTATTTCTATGAAACTTGTCCTCAATATTTATAGGAAATTGGTATTTGTGGGAATACTGGTACTGGGTACAGATTGCGGCAACCTTCCTTTTATTTTTGCAAATATGTTGAAAACAAAATCTTAAACCTGCAAGAATGCTCTTGAAAGTGTGAAAGCACAAGTGAAATCTCAAAAATCAGTCTGAGCAGGATTTCTGAGGAGGATTGTAGCTTGTCAATTAAAATTTTATGTATTTTCTCACACTAAATGGGGAAATCCAGATCTACAAAGTGCTAAAAAAATGTTCACAAGGTGGACTTTGATGGACAGTCTTGAATAGATTTTGAATGAATTAGTGGGTGGGGGTGATAAATGTTTGTCATGTTCAGCCAAATATGACTTGCCTACTTCAACAGCAACATTTTTAGACTACAAATTTGGTCTGTTGCTTTTACAATTTCATGGTCTTCTCTGCTATTAGAAGTATCGATTGAGGTTGAACAGTTACATTGACCTACAATTCATGTTTACAAATACAAATTTATCTCAGTAAGTATGATACACACTTATGGTTCTATTTGGTCTAATTAATAGAATATTGCATTTGCATCTGTGTCATAAAGGTCTATAGATCTTAGGTTACATCTTATTCAGCAAAAACTTGTTTTGTGTTTATTGGACACCACAATGCCTTTTTAAAAAGGGTTTGCCTGGGTCAGCTAACTGTTGGACATGTAACACCATTAATGCTTTACTTACCCACTTGCATAATCATTTCACAAGTAGCTGAATCTAGCATAGTTCAGGACACATTCACTATACCCTTTGCAGTGGGCCCTATTGTTATAACCAATTTATTGTTTTCCTTCTCTGCATTTGCCACGAGACAGGCTTTTTTGCCCACCTCGCTGGAGCATCATGGAGGAGAACAGAAGGAAGGTGAAGAGGCATCATGATAATTCACATCCTGGCCTCTCCAGTCTCCTCTTCCTATCCCCATCCTCCAGAATGCTTTCTTCTCCAAGGTTGCTTTCCCTACCTCAGAGAGAAGCCAGCACAATTCTGTGCTGGCTGCAATGGAGCAGTTTAGTTCCAATTCCTAGCTCTGATGTCAGAGCACTGTCTCTGACCTTGAATTTGGGAATTCAAACAGATTCTGTCCAGGGGCCATGGGACTTCTCCCGAAAACACTTTTCTGGCTATACGTTATATAAAGAAATATTAAAATAACAAAATACTGCATAAATGAAAGATAGTTTAATGCAGTGTGTGTTTCAAACTCTTTTTAGTCAGTCATTTCAGCAAGACAATTAATGGAACAAAGTTATTTATTTATAGTTTAATTTTGTTTAGCAGCATAATGGGAGTATTGTACTATACCCCACAAATAAACTATGCTTAGTTTTAAAAAATCTTTGGAAAAAGACACTGTCCTGGTCATCACTGTAACAATTTTTCTAAACATGTAGTGATTGGAAAGGGAGGGTATTTCTCATCAATATATATGTGTGTATAAATATTACATTTTAGTATAATAGGAACTGAAGAGTCTCATTAAGTGATATTTTGCTTTTATCCAAAAATAATAGGTGGAATTCTGCTTTAGCACTATTTGAAAGTTTTAAAAAGTGATAAAACAGTGTCTGTCTCAAAGGTTATAGTGAATGCATCACTCAGGTCACCTGCCCAGTATGTCATTTGTCAATGTCAAAACCCACCGTTTAAAAGACAGAACAGTAAGAGCATCTGCAGCTGTGGTGATTGTGCTACTGTTCTGTCCTTCTCAAAAGTCAGATTTTCTCCAGCAATAAAAAACAGAACTGGGAGAAATGGAAGGATTACAAATGGATGCAATCAGGTGGACCTCGTGTGAAATGGAAGTGAAAAAGCCACAATAGGCAGCTCTGGAGTCTGGAAATGGCAGGAAGGCACTGGATTGGCTATTTTAGTTCTTGTGTTTATTTTATAAAGTTACATCATTCATCAACTGTGTATTACAAAAATAATCTTTCTGTTGATATCCCCACCCCCATCCCCTTCCCCACTTTTTTAAAAACTCAAGTTATATTTTCAGCCACACAACCTGCAGCACCTTGGAGGCAGAACTCAGCTACGCGTGTATTCCTAGCATGGGATGAGAGGGAAAGAGCACCTAAAGTCAGTAAGAAAATTATGTTTATTTCCCCTAAGCCAGAGCTCCAAGGTTCTCCCAGGGGGAGTACAACCTTTGCCTCCAGCACAGAATGCTAGAACATTCCAAATGGGTTTGGTGCTATTGAATGCAGTGCTCTTTGCCAGTCAAGAGCAGGAATAATCAAATCTTTTTTAATTACATCATTACGTTTACTCCCATTTAGGGAAGGAGAAAGGCTGTAACTTGATGGTAGAACACCTGCTTTAAATACAGAAGTTGTAGGCTCAATACCCATCATCTCCATGTAGGGCTAAGAAAAATCTGTCTGAAACCCCAGTTAACATCAACAGTACTGGGCTAGCTGAACCAGGAAGTCTGAATAAGGCAGCTTCCAATTTTCCATTAAACAAGGAGTGCCAAATATGGAGAGCCAATAGCTGCAAGCAGGTGCAAATGGACAGGAATTTTGGGGAGTGGATCTTGTACCCCCAAGAGCATATTTTTTGCTTCAAATCTTCACTGAGCTCTACATGTTTTCCCTCCACAAAAGTTACTGCAGCTTCTGGAGTTAGCCTCTGTATGAGGCCTCCATCCCCTTGTGTGGTTTGAAAAGTGCTGTAATGTTTGATTCTGTTCTGCTCCCCAAGTATGTTCTCTTGGAGGCTAATCCCTGGGTTATGCTGAATAAGCCAGACCTCAATTTCCAGCTTCAAACACACACATTTCTACTATGGCAAGTGGAAAGGCTCACACTGATTATTGGAAATGGGGAATTGATACTGATTTTGTATTTACTTTTGCTACTTCCTGACACCATACCTGTGCAACTTATGGTAAAATAGGTTACTAACAAACCTCCTGAAATGGTTTGCTATAAGAAGCATAGAAAGACAGCTTAAGAGGTTGTGAGCATATACAACCAGATATAAAAACAGAAATGTGCAGAGCAGAATGGGCAAGACATGATCCTGGACTCGTGGCACCTCAGGGCCTGCAGGCGGGCTTATGGTGTTTGAAATAAACTGGAGCTTCTAGGCAGAATGGGGATTCCCGTATTGTCTATGCCAGAGCTCCAGAGGAGAGACATACACAAAGCAGTTTTTAAGCCCCCTTGAGCAAATGAGCCATGCAATACCTCCAATGACACTGGCCACGAGTTACCAGACACCTGAGGGCCTAACCAAGTTTCAGCTGCAACAGTGTGTTCTGGCACACTTGGTCTCACGCTAGAGATTCCTATTTAGTGCATGCAGGATGAAATCCATTCATTTTGCTTGCTCTTTCCAACCCTGGGCTATCCTCCAAGCCCAGTGCTTCCTTGGCTGCCCTGAAAAGTTGACATCACGATGCCAGAGGCTTAAGCTGTGCACATTCGAGGGCTCCACTTTCAAAGGACATCCTCCTTCTTGCTGACTCACATCCTTAAGTTTTACCAGAGCCCTTTGGAGATGTGCAGCCAGAACAGCCTCCAGGACATGGCTTGAAGGATTCAGTCAGTCGTTGGATGTATGTAGGTTGGTCAGGTTCCAACTCTGAGTTCTTACAGCTCTGTTGTTTTCCTGGGTTCTATCAAGACTGTGTTTAACATTCCCACTTGACACTCTTGGTCTTGAAGTTTTCTTGCAGACTGGGAGGGGCTTTGGCACCTCTGGCGCCCCCTCTGCCAGTTCTTCAGCAGCAGCAACACAGTTACCAAAACCAACAGAGCAGTGAACAGCCCAAACACCAGAACTAAAATCAGCTGTGACTGACTCAGCCCTGAGTCCTGCTGAGTCACCACTTCTTTCACGGAGATTAATAGCCCTCCCCCATTTGATTTCTCACTGTAGTTAGTGATTCGCTTGCCAGTAACTGCAACCCTGATTGGCTCAGACTGGGTTGTCCAAGGATCACCACTGGTTGTGCTTCTCACAGCACTGCTGTGCTCCTTGAGATCAGGCTGAAATGCAGTGACCCATGTTGGCTCAGGAGCAAGGAGCTCGCAAGTTTTGCCAGCAAAGCCTTCCAGACACAAGCAATCAAAATCATTGATGCGGTCATAGCACTTGGCCCCATTTCTGCATGGCTGGCTGGCACAATCATCAACATTGATGGTGCAGAAACGCCCTTCAAAGCCAGGCTGGCATTGGCAGGAGAAGCGGTTCATGCCATCAAGACAGGTGGCACCATTGGCACAGGGACGCATGAGGCAGTCATCTATGTCGATCTCACAGTGTGCACCAATGAATCCTGCCAGGCACTTGCAGGTGTAGTTGCTAGCAAAGCCATTCTTGTCCTGACACAGTCCACCATTCTTGCATGGAGATCTGAAAGAGACATCAAAGACAAATTGCAGCACCCATCTGGATTGTTCTGGAGAAATTCAACCCTTGTAAATTCCAGTGCAAACTTCAATTACCTGGTTCACACATAACGAGGAATGTGGGTTATGTGGTGGGTTGCATGCCATGCACAAGCCTTTGCCGATTTGTATAATCAACCTCTGATCAATGTAATTGGAGGTTGTTGCATGATGTGGGAACCCAAATACTGTAAATTATTTGTAGGATAAACAGTCCAAAGATAATTAATTGAAGCACTAATCATACATTAAGAATCTAATTGGACTGGAGATCAATTGTGCAAATTAGCACAATTGGAACCCGACTGTACAAATTAGCAGTGGCTTGGATGGGGTACAAAACCAAGCAAATTGGGAAATAATTAATCTATGGATTGCAGTTGCTTATGTGTACCTGGATCCAATGCATTCGTGCTTTTAAACACAAAACTGTAGTTAACCTTTTGTCAGGCAGCTAGAGTAAAGGCACACCCCCAGCTACATTTGGATGGGGAAACCCAAATAGAATGTTCTTCAAGTAGTGGGATGTAATGTAGCCAAGCAAAAGTAGCCTGGTCCTCAAGTGATCCACCCAGTATTTCTACTAGGATCTCTCACCCTGCCTTCTCACATGGCCCTGTCTTCAGCTCACAGTCTTTTCCATGAAACCCTTCAAGGCAGAGGCAGGAATACTCCCCATCACGGTCATAGACACACTGGGCTCCATTCTGGCATGGGGTCTGATGTTCGCAGATGTGCACATCTGAAACCAGTTTTTGGAAAGGAGAAAAAACATATCAGAAGTGAGGATATTTAGGGCTGATTTCTCACACCAGACATTCCTTGCTAAACACACAAAAGCAAATAAAGCTTTTTTGGCAGGATGAACAGAAAGTAAATCTCCAGATGTGCTGCACTTCAACTACCAGTGTTCCTGGCCATTGGCCATGCTGACAGGTGCTCCTGGGAGTTAAAACTGAAAACACACCTTCTGCCCATCCCTGCTTTGTGGTATTTGTATTTATAGTAATGCAAAAATATGTGCCTTAAAAATAGGATAGGGTGGCCAGATGCAAGGAAAAATCAGGGTCCTGTATAAGAACATAAGAACCTACCTTATTTTAGGTAACTCAAGAGTCTTTGTATTGGGCCATTAGGCCCATTTCAAATAGCAATTTCTCCTGAAGGTGCAATCCTATTCAGAAACTTGCAGCCTCTGATGCATAGGAGGTGGAACATTGGAGGGGATCTGCACCTCCCCACTTCTCCTGCTCCACATTTTCAGTAGATGTCTAACTGGAGGATTTGAGGGGTAAGGGAGGGAGGCTAGAGTGGATGCCTTTTATTCTGGTCACCCCAGTCTCGTTTCTGTCTCCCCAAATAACCCCCTTTCTCCCTCTGTAAGGTCTTTTGCCCAGCTTTGGAGAGTAACCAGTGTGGTTCTTTTGGCACCAGCCGCAAGGAGCTGTGGGAGAGAGGCAGAGTTCCAATTCGTAGCTCTGAGATTGAAGTGCTGTCTCAGGCCTTGGAGCTGGGAATCGGAACTATCCCCCAGCAGCCCAGACAATTTATAATGGTCATAGGATTGGTCCCTCAGTTGCATATTGGCAATTCTTTTGGTCCTAGGCAATGTAGCTAGTTCTAAAAACCTGTTAAAGATTCAGATTTTCTAGGCAGATCAAAAATATTCACCCATTGGCTGAAGTGTATAAGACATTTATTGCTCGGCCCCACAGTTATTTCCTGCAGTGCTTAGACAGGATTTAGAGAGGCTTGTTTGTTTTGCACAGGTTAATTAAAATGAGAGAAAAGGGATTTATTAAAGGAAATTCAGGAAAGCTACCATTTGTATCCTGCAAGGTAGTATCTTTCTTCACCAGCAATGAAGATTAATAGGACTGAAGATTAGGGAGCTATGCTGTGTCTTTTTCTTTTATTTGTCACCATGTTTTAAAAAAGGATTGACCACATGGAGAAGGGGAAGGGAAAGAACACTGGCTCCATTGGTGTCCCTGTAGTTTTTTCTTTAGCCTTAGGGGTCTGCCAGAACTGGTAATCTGCTCCAAACCCACCCCCAGGAAAAGAGAATTGAAGCATCTGAGGTAGATGAGACTTATGCTCTATCAAAAGACAAGGCCTCTAGGTTTTACCTATGTCAGACACTTGAATTACACTTTTCAAGTTTAATCATTGCTCTTCAATTCAAGAAAAGGCGCCCCTTGCAATCCCATAGGATAAGGACATCCAGTGACATCACTGGGTCCAGAAATGCCTCCCAAGCTGCAATGCCATCTCAAACAAATTGGACGCCTCCATCTAGATTAGAAGAACAGCCTCTCATCTGGATTAAGTTTCAGGAAAATAGACAGGGTCAAACTCCCCTTCTCCCATCTTATGACAATGTAGATCATCCATCGGGGAAACCACAATTTCAGACCCTGAACTAGGCCAAGGTGATCACAAAGATCAATGGAGAAAGCAAGGATTTCAGTGTAGTTGGGAATGGACACAAGTGTGTCCACGCTATACAACTCTGAATAAAAACAAACTAGTGTGGAGGATGACGTAAAACAGAAGGCCATAAAATGCAAAACAGGTCAATGAGAACTGAGGGTGCTCAGTGGGCATGGAATACTGACTCAGAGTGTGGAAAACAACGTTGAATTGTTACTCACTCCGTGAAAGAAAGAAATTGAGATAAATTAAGAATAAGTTTTGGTTCCTGTATTTACACGAGAGGGGCAACTTAACTTGAAAAGAAAAAGTAACACAGTGACTGAGAAACAAAGGAGCCATTAGTTAAGTCATGAAGCCTGTCTGAAGGAATGTGGAGGGGAGAAAGAGAGCCAGTGTGGTGTAGTGGTTAAGAGCATGGGACTGGGACTCAGAGGATCTGGGTTCGAGTGCCCGCTCGGCCATGGAGCCAACTGGGTGACTTTGGGCCAGTCACAGTCTCTCAGCCCAACCTACCTCACAGGGTTGTTGTTGTGGGGATAAGATGGAGGAGGAGAGATAATGTAAGCTGCCTTGAGCCCTTTGTAGAAAAAAGGCAGGATATAAATAAAAAAAAAAAAAATTGGCTTGGAAGAAAGTTTGCTACTTCCTATCTCATCCTCCCAGTAGTTTTATGAGATAGGTGGTCATAGGGTGAAATCAGAGAGGAGTGAACTAGTGAACTTGTAGTTATAAGCATGAAGAATAAGTTGATGAATATTAATTCACACACCCTGAATAGACAATGGGCTAATTATAATGCAGATGCAATGTATGTAATGGGATAAGACAGGAATTGCATGAAATAGGTGGACAGAAAGGCTGTGAACCCTCCATTACCCAGCAAATGGGGAAAAAGGGGAGGCTCCTTGCGAATGGAGATAGGGAATAAAAAGAAAAGGTGAGCTATGCTTGGTGTGCCTGCTCTGTGGGACACCTGCCATTGCAATTGCGATAATAAATCCAGTGCTGCTTGAATTCATGTCACAGATTTATTTCCTTGAGGAACTAAGTAAAAGAGTGATTCTCACAAGAGGAAAAGCAGTTCAGAGAGAGGATGGAGTGCCTGTAACCTTGAGCAAAAACAATGCTTTGTTGTATCCCACTTGTAGATTTGCTTTTTGGCTCTGGCCTCTTGGCAGAGCAGAGAGCAGCAGAGGCACAGGCTGGGAGCGAACGCTGAGTGGCCAGGGGACTGGCGAAGGCAAGGAAGGAGCTGGGCAGGGGAGCGGAGGGTCAGGAGCAGCGGAGAGGAAGGGGGCGGGGCCAGAGAGGCTAGAGGGGCCAGGAGGGAGCAGAGGGGTGGGGCGTCGTCCCTTGGCTGTGTCCCTTGGCTGCAGCCCGGGCTGTCCGGAGACTCCCTTCCCTGAGACACAGAGCTTTGATTGTTTGTTTGTTTTGTTTGCGCTGTGCTTTGCTTTGTTTTTCTTCCAATTTAAATTTAAGTTTATTTTATCCTTGTATGTGTGTGTGAGTGGGTTTTTGTCTGGGAGAACTGGGCAAGTGAGAGGAACTGCAGGACAGACAAGGCAGGGGACCAAGGTAAGGTCTCGGAAGGGATACCGATGACAGACCAGGAGATGGCCTTGGCGGGAGTCATGGGTGTTGCTGTCCGCTGCAACAGCTCTGACATGTTCGTCCTTCTCCCCCAGGAGAGGCAGGGATACACTTGCCCTCGGTGCAAGATGGTGATCCTGCTAGAAGAGAAGGTGAGGTGCCTGAGGGCTGAGAAAGCTCTCCAGGCCCCCCCCGGAGCAGCCCCCCTCTGGACAGAGGGTTAAGGGAGAGGCCATGGGAGGAGCAGCTGCGGAGACATGGAGGTATGTCACCCACAGGAGGAGGAGACCAGCACGGCCTCCTCCTTCTCCTGGCACCAATCTGGAGCTGGGAAACAGGTTCTCTCCACTTGGGGAGGCTGGGGCTGATGAGGCCTCAGGGGACCAGCAGGACCCCCAGCCTGGGACGTCAGGCGGCAAGGGGGCCGCTGCAGGAGAGACGAGGGCCAGGGCACGGCTGCCCACCAGCACCGGGAAGGTACGGCGGCGGGTGATTGTTGTTGGGGACTCCCTGCTGAGGGGCACTGAGGCGGCAGTGTGCCACCCCAACCTGGAGACAAGGGAGGTTTGCTGCCTGCCGGGCGCACGCATCCGGCATGTGAAGGACAGAGTGGAGCGTCTTGTTCACTCCGGGGGTCACCAGCTGCTCCTGGTGATCCATGTGAGCACAAACGATGTGGCCAGGCAGGGTGTGGCTGGGACCACCAGGGACTTTGAGGCCTTGGGGAAGAAACTCAGGGAGCTGAAGGCCCAAGTGGCCTTCTCGTCAATCTTACCTGTCTGGAGATTTGGGCCAGGCAGGGACAGGAGGGTCTCCGAGGTGAACGAATGGCTTAGGGTGTGGTGCCAGAAGGAACGCTTCGGGTTCCTCGACCACGGCACTCGTTTTCTTGCCAAGGGATGGGTTACACCTCACGAGGATGGGGAAAGGGTCCTTTGGAGATGCTCTAGCAAGCTTCGTCTGGAAGACTTTAAACTGAGCCAGGGGGGTGGGTTCAGGCCCCCCAGTAACGTGTCTGCACTGGACAAGTGTGGGGGGAGGATCAGGGCTCTGGGAGCAGGGTTTTAGAGATACTGCAGGGACTGACAGGACTCCTACAGAGAGGGCCAGGTATTAGGGAGGATGGGAGGAAGGAGAGGGCTGGGAACTCCAAGGAAAGGAAGCGGTGGGAAGGAGTTGAGGTGTATGTACACCAATGCTAGGAGCATGGGTAATAAGCAGGAAGAGCTTGAAGCTCTCCTGGGAATAGGAGGGTATGATCTGGTGGGAATCACAGAAACTTGGTGGGATGAAAGGCAAGTCTGGAATGTGAACATAGAAGGGTACGTTTTTCACACAGAGTGTCCGAGAGGCGACGAGGGGGGGAAGCATCCTTGACTTGGTCTTGACCAATAGAGAGAAGCTGATAGATGAAGTACAGATTAGGGGAGCTCTGGATGCGAGTGATCACTCCATCCTTTGCTTTGAGATTGTGGGACTGGGGATGTGCAGCAGGTCGAGCACTAGAAGCTGGGACTTCAAGAGGGCCAACTTTGGCCAAGTGAAGGCCAGACTGGGGAAAGTCTCCTGGGATAGGTTACTGGAAGGTAAGCAAGTTGAGGAGGAGTGGATAGCACTCAAAAGGGAGGTTTTGGAGGCGCAAACCTTGACGATACCTCTAGTCAGTAAGGTGGGGAGGCAGAGGAGAGTGCCGCCATGGATGCAAAAGGAGGTGGTTAGAGGGATTAGACGAAAGAGGAACCTCCGTAGGAAATGGGTACTGGGGCAAATAGACAAAAGGGTATACTGGGAGGAAGAGGCCCGTTGCAGAAGGATTCTTTGCAAGGCTAAGGCTGATTACAAGCTGAGACTTGCCAAGAATATCAAGAGCAACAAAAAGGGCTTCTTTCAGCAGGTAAATAGGAATAGGAAGGGGAGACAAGTGGTGGGACCACTAAATAAGGAGGAAGGAGACCCAGTGACTGATATGAGGGAACAGGCACAGATGCTAAATGACTATTTTGCCTCTGCGTTCTCCCCAAAGCAGGATGGGGGATATCCGCATAGGAGATTAGATGAGGCTGGGGACTTAAGGGCACAGATTAGCATCACCCCCCTTGAAGTCGAGGGGTTCCTCAGGGCATTGGACATTACAAAGGCGCCAGGCCCTGACGGGTTACACCCGAGAGTACTTAGAGAGTTGACAGGGGTTCTCTCCCGCCCGCTGGCCTCCATTTTTGAGACCTCGTGGAGAACAGGTGAAGTTCCAGAGGACTGGAGGGTGGCATCAGTGGTCCCAATTTTCAAAAAGGGTAGTAGAAGGGACATGGGGAATTATAGACCGGTTAGCCTTACGTCCATTGTAGGAAAAACAATGGAAAGGCTCATAATAGAGAGAGATCTAGTGATGCTAGATAGGGAAGGGAGGCTGACAGCCACACAACACGGCGTCCGCAAAAACAGGTCCTGCCAGACAAACCTTGTGGAATTCTACGACAAGGTTTCGAGATGGCTAGATGGAGGGGATGCAGTGGATGTGGTATACCTGGATTTCAGCAAGGCCTTTGACAAAGTGCCCCATGATATCCTGGTGGAGAAACTGAGTTTTGGGATACACCAAAGCACTGTCCGGTGGATTAGGGCATGGTTGACTGACCGAAAGCAGAAGGTAACCATTAGCGGGGAATCATCGGGATGGCAGCCAGTGACAAGCGGGGTCCCCCAGGGCTCTGTTCTGGGGCCGATCCTGTTTAATCTTTTCATTAACAACATGGAAGAAGGGGTGAACAGTCTGCTGATCAAATTCGCAGACGACACTAAAACTGGAGCAGTGGCCACAACTGAGGAGCAAGTACTCCAGATCCAAAAGGATCTGGACAGACTATGGAAGTGAGCAGGAGACAACAGGATGGCGTTCAATGTAGGTAAGTGCAAGGTCTTGTACTTGGGGCATAGGAATAGCTGTCATAAGTACAGGTTAGGTGGTAAGTGACTGGAGAGCAGCCCTTGTGAAAGGGACCTCGGGGTACTGGTTGACTTCAGGCTAAACATGAGTCAGCAGTGTGATGTGGTGGTCAAGAGGGTGAACGCCACCCTTGGTTGCATAGCCAGAAGTGTAGCTTCTAGATCAAGAGAGGTATTACTACCACTCTACACAACTCTAGTGCACCCGCAACTGGAGTATTGTGTTCAGTTTTGGGCCCCTCATTACAGAAAGGATATAACCAGGTTGGAGTCAGTGCAGCGTAGGGCCACAAGGTTGGTGGCCATTTTGCAGGGGATGGGGTATGAGGCGAGACTGAGGGAACTGGGTCTCTTCAGCCTGGAGAAGAGGAGACTCAGAGGGGATACGTTGGCGACATACAGGTATGTGAGGGGATGTCACATGGAGATGGGTAGAGACCTGTTCTCCCCTGCAGAGGAAGGCAGGACGCACTCCAATGGAGTCAAGCTCAGGGAACCAAGGTTCCATTTAGATGCCAGGAAGTACTTCCTGCCAGTTAGGACCCCGAGGGTGTGGAATGGGCTTCCACAAGAGTCATTGAGGCCCCATTGGTGCGGGTGTTCTAGGATAGGCTGGACGTGTACATGGTGGGCATGTCGTGACCGGAGCCGGCTGGTGCCAGAGGTCAGACTAGATGCCCCGGGATGCCCATTCTGACTCGCTCTGTTTCCTAAGTTCCTATGTTTCCTATGTTCCTAGATACTTAAATTGCTAAGTTCAAATGTGGGTTTCTTCAGAAGGCAGCTTGCACTGTCCTTGCGCCTTCTGACCCTCACATAGATAGACCCATCCTAGCTTTTATCTGCCAGAATGGAGAAAGATCAAAAGCACAAGGAATTATTTTCTTCAAGGAAGAATAGAAAACGTCTATAATTTCTGTTTAAGCTGAATTTCTGCTACTGCTGTTTGAAAGGCCATAGCTGAGGGTAGAAATCATGCTTTGCATAAAGGAGGAGCTCAGTTCAGACTGTGGCATGTTCTCGTAGTACTAGGTTAGTCCCTCTCAGAGGTCCTGGAGAACTATAAACAGTCTGCAGAGAGCAGGGTGGGGAACCATAACCCCAAGGGCCAAATTCTGTTTTAAAGAAGCTACTGCTCCAGCAGTAGGACCAAAGGCAAAAGGAACAGAGCCAAAAATACAACCTCCTCCTCAATTTATTGACCATCAGTAACAAAGCCATATGAGAGACATTCAACCATTCAGAATGGGCAGAGGGGACTGCACAAACCCGAGGAAACTACCAAATAATCAATGTTTGCGGGAAAGGGTGGGGCCATCTGGTGCATCCCAGAAAGCTAGACTGGTCCCCTGGGCCTGAGGTTCAACAGTCCTAGTATAGAGCAAATTGAGCTATATATAGGCCAATAGTCTGACTTCACAGAAGGCAACTGCCTAGCACAGCCATAGCCTTTTGAGATTTCCCCAACCAGTTCCAAGTGGAGTGACTGACCTTTGTTGCAATACTTGCCAGCCCAGCCACTTTGACAGATGCATTGCCAGGGCTGGTGGCACGTCCCATGGCTGCAGCCCGGCATCCTCACACACTGTTCGCAATAATCCCCTTCCCAACCTGGATCACACCTACAAACAACAGAGGGAGGCCAGGGTTAGTGAAGAAAACCACACCATATGACACATGGCAAAAATAAAGAGAAAGGAAAGAGCGATTGTGCAGTTTTACAAGGTTAGAGATTTGCATTTAACAGGTATGTGTTCAAGCTCTGGGTTAGGTTCTGAGGAATGGGTGGAGCCACAAGCCTTTTCTTGAAATTCTTCATTGTGTTATTTAAGTGCATTTATCTGATGTATTTGTCTTGATTTTGGCTAGTACAATACACTTTTGGAATGGAAAAAGAATACTATAAGGGATCTTATGAAAAGCAAAGGCAGGCAGGCAAGGAGGACATAGCTGGGTGGAGTCAAGGTTGAGGCAAGAAGGCAGAGCTTTGAGGACACAGAACCAGGGGTGAGCCCTTGCCCTGCTTCACATATAGCGACAGCTGAGTTTGGCATGTTGGTGAAGTGCAGGTTGCAGTTAAATTATGAGTTGCTATTAGATGCAAACTCTGCATGATGGAGTTGTTGACCACGGTCAACTGAGGATTGATAACCCATGGTCTGTTGCTGGGTTGTGAACTCTGGATTTTTCATGGTTACCAACCCATAGATGAATGTTACACACAGAGTTCAGATGTGCGTACAATCTATCAACAACCCATATGCAAAGTTGTCTTTATGGGTGAACCAGATCTTTGAGTACAACAAGTTTTGGTAAAGCCTGTGAAGACAACCAATCCCCAGTGGTTCTTTCTCTAATTTTCTCCTTGGACAAATTAAAATTTCCACTTTAATCATCATGTGGAAGCACAGCAGAAGAATGACACTTCCTCAGTATTTGCATCTGCCTTAGAGGTTTGCTAGTAATAATCTGGCCTTTTACTTGATATGCAAGATCAGCAATGTGAAATATGCTTCTGTCTCTGACCCTCTTCCATCCCAATAATATCTAAATTGCTTTCAGAGGGAATACATGCGTCATATAGTACTATAGTACATATAGTAACCCTATACACACTTACTTGGGACTGGGCTATAAGAATGGTATACAGCAGGCTACCTTTCATTTGTGAAATTAAGCAGATATGCAAACCTAAAAACATGTTTGTATATTTGTATGTCATTGGGGAAAATACAGAGAGGAGAATAAAATGTAAGCATGTATCCAAGGAATCGTATTGTAAGCTTCTTCCATTGCCAGTGGTGCAGCTTACCAAAGGCCCAACTGGCACAAGATATTCATAGATATTGCATAGATATTGCAGCATATTTATTGTCTGTCCTTTAACCAATGCTAAAAGAATGCAAGCCCTACATTTACCCAGCAATTACCTGGTCCACATCCAAAAGGCTGCCTCCAGACTTTATGAGTTTGGCTTCCTTTAGGCCACTCAGTCATGGATAACACATAATCATCCATCACTCCCTTAATATCAAGAGAAATGCAGAACTGCACATTCCTGCCATCCCAAAAGAATGCAGGTACAATTTGTACAGCTTCAGAGAAAAGACCCACAATAGGCTGACTTCATCTGCACAGATCGATCCTGGTGACCAGTGAGAGACTCAACACATCTTTTTTTGTATATATGCTTGGTCTCAGTGGAGAAATTCGCCCTGCTATGCAACTGAACATTTTCAACTGTGTAAACACAATCTGTTTGAACCAGTATGGAGTCTCTGATGTCTTTGGGTAGGGATCTTTTGTCATCTACTTTAAATTATAGAAAGTAGATCTCTCTTAGTCAACCAGCATATGTTAAATGTACAAAACAAGAGTGCACACTCAGAATCTCTTGACATTTATGATATAACTAAATGGGGTACCCAAAGCCCTCTGACCGTGGCCATGGGCAATTCAGCTACAGGAGACTAAATGTACCCTTTGGATACCCAGAACCCTCTGAACTTGGAGAATTATAGGCATCCCATCCAGGACAGGAGGAATGAGGACAATGGTCCCCTCTGTGCTCTTCTTACCATACAAAATACTTAGATAGCTGATTTCAGCTACTCAACTGCAGTACTTTGGAACAGGAGAGAAGGAGGCTGAGGTACCACCAGGATACCTCAAACCTTCACAGCACTGGTCTTATCCCCTCCTTGTTCCTAGGAGCTTGGACGTGTAGCCAGTGTGTTTCTTCCCATGCTGGTTGGAAGGGAGGGAAGGATGCTCTGAGTGCAGAGTCTTAGTTCTGACATTGGATTTTTTTTCAGACATCAGGCTGGACCTCCAAAAAATCCTATGTCCATCCAGATGTTGCCTAGAGGCCATAGGATTGTGTTGCCCATCAACTTTAATTCAACAAAGAAACTGGAAGTACAGAAATTAGATCCAGGGCTCACTTACCTGTTTTGACTACCATAACTCATCCATGAAAGGAATGTATAAAAGTAATAATGATACAAAACTGAGGCTGAAAATATGCTGAGTGCATTTTCCTCACCAAAGAGGAAGCTTACCCTTTCTTACTTATCTAGGGTTAGAAAGGCAGGGAAAGCATGGCTTTTGGGAAGGTTGGGGCCCTACATTTTCTAAAAGAAAACTGATGGACAGGAAATACATGCTCATACCTGAAAATTGAAAACAGTATAAAGAATATATAAACAAAGCTCCCAGAATAAATTCTAATTACACTGTGATTTTCAAACTGTCTACTTTGACAGGCATAATATCACGGAACCACTTGCTGAAGCTAACCAGGTCTGAATCTGATCAGCATTTGGATGGGACTCTTCCTTGGAACCCCATGAATGAACTCCAAGGTAGAAGAAAAAGTAGGATGCAAATACACTAAATGAGTACCTTCAAGGAGATCTTTATGTGTTGACTGATTTTTTTGGACATCCCTGCATGTACACTGCAGAACATGCACTTCAGAAAATGTTGGCATGCTGGTGATAGCCTAACATAAAATTGAGAGTGTGCCCTAGAACAAACACAACTCTACAATAGCTCCAGACTTGATGCAATAATTTCCCCTCCTTTTGACTTCAATGGAGTCATTAAAAAGCCACCAGTGCGTTGGCAACCATTTTACCCATGTTACTGCAACAGAACATAGGATATGGTATAATCTCAACACACTATCACCAGTGTATAAACCCCACACAGGGAACCTGCAGTTCAGAGTATAAGTATGTGGCTATATCTCTTTGGTCCTGTGCCATGTGCATGGAGAGATCACAAAGGGCAACTATGGAAAAAAAGAGCAGTTTGGACAAAACACCTCTCTTCAAAACAGTCCTGAAGGCTTTGTGCACACAGCTGATCCCTCATGAATGTCAACCTGAATGTGTTATCTTGCCTTGGGATTGCCTTGTCTCGGGAGACAGACGTCTAATACCAAGCTCCACTTCATTCCAAGCAGCAGTGCTGCTGGGACAGAGCATCCTACACAGGTGAGTGCTGCACTCCTGCCATTGCCACTGCTGGCCAAGCCCTTGTGAGCATTTTTGCCTTGCCAAGGTCTCAGCCTGGATGCTTGGAGTAGAACAGATTGCATACACTGTTTCTCTACAAGCCCCAAGGAGGAAGTATATTCACAGTCACTGCAGTTTTGTGCTCCTGCCCACTACAGCAAAGGAGGGTAACTCACCTCCAACCAGCTGGCCTAAAATCTAGCCCAGGGAAGACTGGGCTGTCCCTGCAGCAGTAATAACTGCAGCTTACTGGGCACAAATAATAGATTCTTTGAACACAGAACACGAAGGGTTGGAGTGATGTGATACTTGAACAACTCTTATTCAGCATCAAAATGATGTTTCACCTGCATTTGCCGTCCTCTTCACAGCTGCCATGAGCCAAGTTACAGCGGTCATTGCATTCATCACCTGCAAGACAGAGTAGAGAGTAAGAGTGAATGAACAAGGCAGTTGGGAATGTAGCTATCGCTAGGTTAAATCAACGGAGAGAGGATGGAAGTGCCTGTGCCACTTACGGTGACAAGTTTACCTGGATGAGCCTGTCCATATAAAACCTACTGGGATGCCGGTTCCCACCTGGAATTCCCATGCTCACTTCACTGGAAAGGAACAGCCCACACATGTATTTCCCTGTCCGTGTGGCATTCTTGTCTTCAAGGAAGAGAATGCAGAAGCACTTGCGGGTGTGTGTTTGTGTGTGCATACATCAGAACTCCTTGTGCCCACCACAAATTGTCTCAAATCTCATTTTCCGTCCAAGCATGTACTGAGTGAATGCATTATATTTTCTAGCCGGAGATGCATTCATTTTTGTAAGCCCACCTTCTTAAATATAGTTTGTATTGCAATTTACTTGTTTGCCTTGAACAGACGGGCACACCAAGACTAGGAAATGCTGTACACCAGTAGTGAAGCATGTGTTTTGCACACAGAAGGCTTCAGGGTCAATCCCTGGCTTCTCCAGGTAGAGCCAAGGAAGAGTCCTGCCTCAGTCCCTGGAAAGCCACAGCTAGTCATTGGCCTGTCGATAAGCTACTCCTCACTCTGATTGCTAGTCCTTTTCATTCACTACTGGGTTGTTGGTGTTGGTGTTTTCCTTTTTCAGAGTGTTAAAAATGCCCAGTTGGATCCTGTTGTTTTGGACCCTGAAAATCACACAATTATGTTTGCAGTTTGTTGGTGGTAACACTCTTCTGCAATCGTGAGAGTGAGCATTTATGGCTGTCTGATATGCGTAGCCTTGCCTGATCAATTTCTTTGTATGTTTCAGCTACCAAAAAAAGCTGTAGTGGAGTGGGTAACATAGATAGAAATTGACAAGGAAAGTTGGCATATGGGCTTATTTGAACACAGTGCTGAACTGACACTTCTCAGTGCCTTCCATTTTTCAACACTTTTGTAAGTCTCCAGTTATTCCAACAAGGGGAGATATTAGTACACATTATCGCTCCTTTTTAGAGTACTTAGTGCTGTGATTACTGCTAGAATATCCAGATAAGAGTAATGAAACAAAAAATCAATATGAACTACTCATAATGAGCACCACTTTCAGTGTATTTAATTCTACAATGAATATTGGACTAATAGACATATATAAAGGAAATATTTATTTATTTATTTATTTATTTATTTATTAAAACATTTTTATGCCGCCCCATTCGCCGAAGCCTCGGGGCGGCTTACAACATAGATAAAACAAGTTAAAATCCATATAAAATAATCTTAATTATATACAAAGGAAATAGAAACATAAAGAAAGCAAGTCAGAAGGGGCCTCCTGGGCCCTCTAGTCTGGCTCCTGGCTCCAGCTGGCTCTGCTCATATAATCCCCAGCATGTGGTAGTCCAATCTTTCCTTGATCACTCTCGCTGATGGGGCCTCAACCACCTCCCATGGAAGCCCATTCTATATCCTAGGGGTCCTAGGAAGTACTTCCTGAATCCAAGCCAAAGTCTGCTTGCTTGAGCTTTGCCCCATTGGAATGCATCCTGTCCTTCACTGCAGGAAAGAACAGGTCATGGCCCTCCTCTACATGACATCCTAAAAGATCCCCTCAGAGTCTCCCCAGGCTGAAAAGACCCAGTTCCCTCGGTCTCTCCTCATATGCCATCCCTTCTAACCCAGCTACCATTCTTGTGACCCTGCGCTAAACCATTTCTAGCTGTCACTCCTATAATGTGGAGTCCAGAACTGGATGCAGTACTCCAGTTGTGGGTGTACCAGAGTCATCTAGAGTGGTATCAACACCTCCCTAGATCTGAAAGCCATGCTTCTGGCTACACATCCAAGGGTGGCATTTGTCTTCTCAACTGTCATGTCACACTTGCTGACTCATGTTCAGCTTGCTGTCAACAAGGACCCCAAGTGCTGCTCTCCGGCCACTTGTCCCCCATCCCGCACCTGAGACACCTATTCCTGTGTCCCAAGTGCAGGACCTTGCACTTACCCACATTGAATGCCATCCTGTTGTCTCCTGCCCACTTCCGCAGCCTGTCCAGATCCTTCTGGATTTGGCACAAGTGCGAGTCCCCAGAAGGAGCAGGATAGGCTAACTAGTAATGGTTTAAGAGGAGCTTGCTAGAGTGTTTAAGGGGCTAATTATACATCTTAAGACTATGATTATGCAGACATTATAACTTCAACCTTGTCAGCCTCCTTTCTTCATCAAAGCCTCCAACCCCACCAACCTGTAATAGATTTGTAATAGATTACAAATAGTTTTTGTAGTAGATTTCCAGATGAAGATATTGGGAAAGCTTGAAATCTTGCACCTTTTTTGTTCCCTATGAGCTGGCCTAATAAAAATGTCTTATGGCCAATACAGCTACCATTGTTTTTGGTACGTCTTAGAAAATACCAAATTTAGCTATTTGGCAGTGGAACACTACACTGGAGGATTTTATGCCACCTGAAGCTGGGACTTTATTCTTTGAAGGTCCTTTCCCTAAAACTAATAGGTAAACTAAAATGTCCCATTTTCCTTTTCGATTGCTTTTCTCTTATATAGCACATCATCAAAAATAACTTCTTGCTTTATTAATATAAAAACTACTAATTTTATATCTTCCACTGATTTCTACCAATCAAGGAAGCTGTCTTGTTTGCCTAGGAAGAGATCATTCACAGCTGAATTTTATATTTTCGGAAATGGAGGGTCGACCATTGTCCGCTACTTTCTTCTTCCCAGTGGTTCTATGGGCAACATGACAAACTGGTATTCTGAAGTCCATGTGAAAAGTGAACATGGACCAAGAAATATGAAACTGCAGAAAGAAATGCAATGGTTGGTACCTAGCTATGTCACTGGCACCAATTGTGCACATATTTGCCAAATATGCTTCTTGATAGCCCCTTTCATGAGGGGAACATAGTTCAGAGGCATAGCACATCCTCTGCTGCAGAAGACCTCTGCTTCCACCACTGGGACCTCAGGCTCAATGGCTTAGGTAGTACACAATATGAAAGACCACTGTGCCTGAGCTCCTGCATGGATTGGATGAAGGAGAAGGCTATCCATGGCTACTAGTGATAATGGCTATTTGCTCCCTCCAGTATCTCGGGCAGTATGTCTCAGTACCATTTACTGAAGCCATATGCCTAGGTATACCATTTGCTGAGGAACTTGAACTAGAGAGTCCTATTACACTCATACGCTGCTTCTGGGATCCTGTAGGCAGCTGACTGACTATTGTCTGAACAGAATACTGGCCCAAATAGACCCTTAGTCTGATCCAGCATGGCTCTTCTTATGTATTGGAGAATAGGAACAAAAAGGTATGATTGCATTCCAGTTCTGCTTGGGGCCCTTGTGGGAACAGAATGCTGGATTGGTTAGGCCTTCAGGCCTAACCAATTCAGCACAGCTCTTCTTACATGCTGCTAAGGTATGGCAATTGTACTTTAGTCCCCATGAAAAGGGAGAAAGACTCACTGAAATTGATGGAACCTAAATTAGTCTCATCTATGCAAGGTATGGATCCAAGCCAGGAACTGCTAAAATGTCATTCTTTCTCTTTCCTTTGCTACTACTATTTCTACTGCAATTCCTAAAGGATGGGTTGCCCTGCACCTTGCAAAAGAGCATGTGTGCACACTGGAAGGATTATAGTTTAATTTTAAAAACTGACACAGCAGTGACAACACTAACAAGACTGTGCTCAGCTCTGAATGCAAAGAAACTCCTTCGCCATAGAGGTGGAATTGACAGGAGGCTGCTCTGCAAACATGGTAGCAAAGAAGAATAGGAGAAAAGTGGATGGTTAGTGTCAGAAAAGCAACTTATTGGCAACTAGGAGAGAATTACACTCCTTCAACAAACTGCATCAAAATATACTTCCAAACCCTGTGAGACAATACTATGACATCTGTTTGCACCTAAAATGCTTGGGGTGCCATTGCAATGGAAGTTCCAGTAATTGCTATAGACAAGCATTGTTAGAGAAGGAAGGGGCAACAGCAAGGAAAATGCAGGAATGTATAGATTTGGGAAGAATGTTCTCAGCATTTTCCAAAATAACTATGCTGAAAAAGGCTTGTAGGGAAACACTCCAAGTTTAAATCTGGGTTTATTTATTTATTTATGAAATCTATAGGCCATTCATTACTGTCATCTCTGGACGGTTTACAATATATTATCATCCTAAACAAAATAAATTGGCTACACCATGACGGAGTATAAAATGACATGGTTAAAATAAATTAAATTAGTAAATACACAATTAAAATTAATTAGCTTTAAAATATTGGTCAAATGAAAAGGTCTTGACCTGGTGCCAAAAAGCATATAATGATGGCGCCAGGCGGACCTCCCTAGGGAGTGCATTCCAAAGCTGGGGCGCCACCACAGAGAAAGCCCTCCTCTGAGTGCTCTGTCTCCTGGCCTCTTCAAAGAGGGTTCCTGGAGGAGGGCCTCTGCTGCCGATCTTAAGGGGTGGGAGGGCATATAGGGAAAGAGGCGTTCCTTTAGGTATCCTGGTCTCAAGCCGTTTAGGGCTTTATAGGTAATAACCAGCACCTTGAATTGAACCCAGACTTCAATGGGAAGCCAATGGACTTGATAGAGGACTGGAGTTATGTGAGAATAACGACCAGTCCACGACAGTATTAATGAGTTGTCCTAAGCATGTGAAATGAAGTATAAAAAAAAGCTTGTGCAAGCTTCCAGTGGATCATACAGGATGGATCAAAAGGCATTTTCAGAATGTTACACCAGATGCTGCTGACAACCAAACAGTTCTCCACCATCTTCAGGAAAGTTGAATACAGCACAATCCTGTACATCTTTAGACAAAAGAAAGCCATACAATTCCCAGCATTCCCTAGCCAGCAGTGTTGGCTTAGGCATTCTAGGAGGGCTGTTTTGTTTAGTATTTATTTATTTATTTATTTATTTATACATACCAACATACATGTATATATTGGCCACCTATAATTGCCAAGACCTTCCTTTCTGTCTAATCATGCATGGGATCACACCTTTATTTATATTTTTCTCAAGAGTGCTCATCTGTTTTAGCTCACAAGTACTTCTCATTTGGATGTCTCTCTCAGTTTTAGCTAATTTTGTCACTCTCTTTCTTCAGTAATCTCTGAGGCTTTTGTTATACATATTAAACCAGTTCTGGCCCACCTGCCTTGGCTGCCTGTATGCTTCTGGTCCCAGATCAAGGTGCTGGTCTTAACCTATAAAGCTCTGCATTGCTTGGGACCACAATACCTGTCAGAGAGCCGTTCCCAACCCTGATCTACCCACACACTAAGCCTCTGAGGCCTTCTTCCTGGTGCCAACCTCTTAAGATGCTCGGGGTACCAACTGGGGGAGGGCCTTCTTGGTGGTAGCCTCCCTTCATTGGAACAACCTTCCTGCTGCAGCTTGCTTGGCACCAAGCAAGTTGCCATCTTTTCAACACCAGGTTAAAGTAGCCCTCTTTGCTGAGGCTTTTAAAGACCTCCCTAGCCATTTAGGGGCCTGATACAATTAACCCGGTATCAGGTATTCTTTTATTCTTGGGCAGGTCTTTTTAAATGGTTTTTTATTGCCTTAATTGTCTTTTAATGGTATTTTATGTTATTTTAAATTAATTGTTAAATCTTACTGTTTTCATCTATTGTATTTTATTGTTTCTAAACTTTATGTAAACCACCCAGAGAACTTTGGCTATGGGTAGTATAGAAACAAACAAACAACAACAATGCAGCAAATAGACATTTTCCCCATTACAGCAGTGCCCTATTTCAGGAAGATGGCTATGATCTCCATTACATTTGTACAGTTTTATTTTTTATTACTTAACGTATGCACTACTTTCTATAGAGATATGAAAGCAGTGAAGATGGTATCAAAACAACAATAAGTATAACAATACAATACAACATTGAAAATCAATGTAACCACCAGCTCTATTGTGTGATGAGAATTGTAGCTGGCTGGATCACACCTCAGGGAAACCCTGCATAAGAACTCATTGGGGGCTGCCTGATGTAAACTGGTTGAGTGCTCCAAAGGAGGGTGCTGCAACACTAAATGCCCCAGAGCAAATGCTTCTGAGACAAACCTCAGGAGCATGTGCTACCCTCAGAAGCACTTCCTCTAAAGGTTGCAACTTGGTCCCAAGTTGTTTAGGGCTTGATTTGTTCACAAGTCCTTGCATTTGTCCTGGTAACTTACTGACAGCAGTGGAGCTCTTTTAGCAAGAATGTAACCTGCTGACAGAAAAAGACTGCATTTAGTAGCCTCCCTGCCACATTCTCCATCAGCCACAGCTTCTGTACCAAGCCCAAGGGTAATCCCCCCAAAAGTGCCATACAATAACCCAGTCCTGAATCACGAGATCGCCTGTGCCACTGCGCCTGCAGCTAGGTTATCATGGTCCAGGAACAGCCACTGTTGGCATAGGTCAATCCTAGCAGCTGAAGCTTCCTTCGTCTCAAGTGACAAAGATGAATCTGTAACCCCAGGTTATGTACCTGTTTATTCAGGGGAAATGTAACCCATGAATGAACAGGAAGAGAAACTGGCTGATTTCCCAGACCGGTGACTCCCACCCTCAGTGCTTCCATCTTGCCAGTTTATTACATAGTCCTCACCCAGCCTAGCACTGTGTCCAAGTACCAGTCCAGAGCCTACATGCATGTCCACACCTAATCCAGATATTATGGGGAGGCAGAGCTGGGTCTCATCCACAAGCTAATGAGACCTTTCCCCAAGTCCATGATGGCCACTCCCAGCAGCTTCATACAGCTGTTAAACAGCACCACGGTCAAAATAACGCCCTGCCACATCCCCATAGCGCAGGTGCCAAAGGGGCAAGGTGCGCTGGCCAAGCAGCATTCTCTGAGACCAACCCCACAGCTCTCTCAGTGTTAGACTATGACTCCTATCACTCCTGACAGCTGGCCATGTTGGCTGGGGCTGATGGGAGTTAAGAGTCCAGACACATCTGGAGAGCCACAAGTCATCAGCCCCCTCACTCCTGATTTAAGAAGAAAGCTGTGGTGAGACACTGAACTATTCTTGGTCCCCTAGTTGACAGAGAGAAGCATCAACCAGGGAAAGGAGTCTGCATGCATTGCAGGATATTGCCTGCAACGTGACATACACGGGGGAAGGACTATACACTCAAAGCAAGTATAGCTGAGGAACAGTCTGCTCCACCTTCAACCTGGGGGCCACTGATATTTCCACTCTGCAGTCCCACTGCTTGAGAAAGGAGAATTAAAACTGTTCAGAGGCATCTACTCTCATCAATTATGTAAATTTCTCCAAGGCTGTAACTGAGCCCTGCCTTGCTCCATTGTCTATTTTTTCCCTTCTATCCTTCATTTGTCCTTTGCACGGACACCCCAAAGCTCTCCTGCTTCTCCAGGTTTGTGAATTCTTTCCTTCCTGTTTGGTCCCAGTGTCCATGTAATGTATGGTGACCCAGAGCCCAATGATGTTTGTTGATTTGCATCCAGATGTGATGGACACTTAACTCCTACCATTCTCAGCCAATATGGTCAATGGCCATGCTGACTGGGAATGGTGGACATTGCAATCTAACACATCTGGAGGCTCCAGCTTTGAGAAAGCTGTCTTGGACTGTAACTTCTTATGCCATGTTCATACCTGTTCATTATCTACCACAGCTTCCCTCAAAAATCCATGGAAGTTCAATTTGGTGATAAGACTCATCCATTACTATTAGAAATCCTCGGGATCCTCTCACAAAACTACAATTCCCACAATTTCCTGGGGTGGAATGTTAAGCCAGCATACATCTAACATGTAGATACACTCATAATCACAGGAGCAAACTAGACAGAATGTTAAATGCTGTAAACAAAATTGTATCTCCTGAACATGAATAAAAATAGGGTCCAGAGGAGAATCCAATCTGGACTGTGGCATGGAGAAGCAACTGTTTCCCCTGTGCCATTTTCCTGACAAGAACAGCTCCAAAAGCTGCTGTGTGTACAAATAACAACTCTCCAAGGCATATAACAGAAGGGGGCAGGGGGCAAGGAACATTTGGTCAGGAAAATGGTGCAGGGGAAAATATTAAAAGTCTAAAAAAGAGCCCTCTTCCCACATCATGGTCACAGTTCAAATCAGGAATATCTGCAGCTGCATTTGAGATAGATGGCTAGATAGACGGACAGACAAAGGTATCCATCATATTGTATATTTTGGCCCTTGGACAAGGCTGGTATCATGGATATTTTAAGGCCTTTTACAAAGTGTCCAGCAGGTGTCACTGCTTGCCTAAAAACACAGGCTAGAGGTACAGGCACAGCTCCAGTACAGGACATCTGGGCAAATGCCAAGGAGCAAACCTATTAAACATTGACAATGTTAGTTGCATATTACTGTCCTCAGTGCATTTTTCTTTTTCATACAAAGCAGGCTCAGGTGGCCCAAGATCTGACTGAAAAATATTAAGGCAGGAAAGTGACTTAACTATTTTTCCCTCTTGACTATTTTTCCACTGAAAAGCACCCTCTAGCTGTTTCTGTACCAGCATGGAAAAGGTATGGGTAATTTCCCACTGTGAGTGGAAACGCAGTGGTGGGGGTGGGGGGGGGTTGCACAGCAAAACACCCAGATGGGAAAGAGCTAAACCACCCACCCACAAACTATTCCATCATTCAGATCCACTGCCTACCAAGGTTGCTTTGGTTATAGATCAGAAAATGAGGAAAGAGGCGCACACTTGGCTTGTAACATCTATGTTGGCACTTAGGAAAATCCAATAGAGAACTGCACCACTAGCTGGCAAAGCTAGGAGGCTAGGAATGGCATTTTCCTTTCAGAATGCCTTCTGGATGCTTTCTACAATGAACAGATCCATTCAATGCCATCAGAAAAGTGCTACAGAAAACTTGTTCCTAGTATTACCATCATTTCTCCTGCATAATCAAATAAGATCCCTCCTGCTGGCAGCCCAGGCATAACTATGATGAAAACCCAGAGTGGGTCTCATGCTGGATTATGTCATGGGAGCCCTTAACAACACACCTTTCCTCTGCCTGAATTCAGAGAGGCATATCTGTGCACATGGCAAGCAGTGCTCCCTTGTCCTGCTAACATCATCCTTTGATTTACAGCGTACAGTTGTTCCAGTACATAGGAGGGATGAAAAGAATGCTTGCACTTTTCATTTGCTCACACCTGGGGGAACGTGAAACATCTTTCCTTCCCTGACACAAAAACAGAAAGTAGCCACACAAGCCCATTCTGGTCTTTTGGGAGGGACAGAAAATGCATAAAAACCTGCACATTATTTAGCTCCAGATTCTGCAACATACAGGACAATCTAATCAAGCCATCCACACACTGAAGTACTGTTTAGGCTGATGTGTTTACTTGGCATATGAAGAATGACGAATTGTCCAAAACAAGACCAGTCACTCACAGATTTAAGTCAAGGCTTCTTTGGACCATGGAAGAGGAAGTCCACCCCTCCTCCCGGTTGTTGGTCTTTTGCAATAGATCTCATGTCCTCAAATGAACATTTAATGAATCCTCACCTTGGGTAAAATGGTGATGGGCCACCAGGATCCAAAGCAAGGACATGAGCTGAAAACAGAAGCTCCTGAGCATGGTCAGTCTCACCCTACCGAGATAGTTACCTATAAGAACATGAAGGCAAAATCAGACTAATATGCTCTTGGCATCTTTACAGTGCTATGAGGAACTTCACATTCCAAACTTTATTATTACTACAAGTTAGCATCATTTCCTTTGAGGTATGTTCAGCTTGGTACAGGATACTTAAAGAAACAATAACAAAAATTAAAAACACTTTAAGCCAGAGATAAGTAAAATGACAAAGTTAATCCTATTGAATATATTTGTAAAAGAGAAATAAAAGAAAAAATCAACTGTTTTTGTTGACAACTGCAAGGCAATTAATAGCAAATAACAGAAAGGCACCTTGGATGTTGGCAATATCTTGGTGGAAAAAGAAAATATGGGATATATCAATTAATGAAAAGTTGATACAGGAGTTAAGACTATATTGTAGAATAAAGAAAAAAGATACTTTTAGGAAGGACTGGTGAAAATCTATATATCATATAAAGAAGGGTTCATATAGAATGCTTTTAGAAGGTTATAGAAAACTCTGGGCCTCATGAAAAAGGAAGATTAAAAAGGAATTAAACAGGACAAATTAACATGGATCAAATCAGGGCATGAATTATGTATTTATAGGTATTAATACAGATGCATTCTATTTGCTTTTGTAGGTATTATTTTTGAAAATGTAATAAAATTTTAATTTAAAAAGTATGTCCAGTTGACCCATTGCCACTTTGTCTTCAGATGCTTTGGCATTCCTATTCTCTTCAGCCTCAAGATTAAATGTGCTAGAACAATGAGTGTGCAGAGTTCACCCTGTGCACTCCAAAAGCAATACACCATGGCTCATGAGACCCTTTCATTACCTCATTTGCCTTCAGACCCTCTGTGCCTCTTCTTATGGAAAAAGAAAAACTGCTCCCACACCCATGCAGCAATATTTTCAATCATGGAGCCTTAATTTTGAAGGTGTTACATTATTTGTTCCTTCCCTAAGGTGAGCCTTAAGTGTACTGAGCCAGACAGCTGAAAACATGGCTTTTGCAAACTGTACATTGAAAAAAAAAATCACACATGTTAAGAGTTGCTTGACAATCATATTGATGAAGTCTGGCTAAGTTCAATGGGGCTTATTCCCAGGTCAAAGAGTATACAACTGCAGCCTAAATATTAATGTTCCTTCTGTCTTTGGTGGAGCCTAAGGAGAAGGGAGAGCAGACAATTACTATCTCTGTCACGGAAAGGTGTTGGATACGATTGGGAGCATATCATGGAGATATGGGTGAGACTAAGAGATGGAAATCAGAAGTTCACCAATCCATAGTTTAAAACTATGTTGATCTATTGCTACATGTCTCCTGGCAGAGTAACTGATGGAGAGTTCCAGCTGCCATTTCTCTGTCTAAAAGAGTATTGTGGTTTCTTTAAATGGTTAGGCTTAGTCATTGTCATGTCTTATTTGTATCCTACCTTTATGACACCTCAGGCAGCCTATATATTGGTCTATATGGCCTAATATATAGCCCAGCATATGGCCCCTTCCCTTCCTCCAAAGAACTCCATGCAGCAAGCAGGGAAGTATTGTATCCTTACAGAAATAACAGGAGAGAAAGTGCTTGCTAGGCAGAAAGTTCCTTGCCCAAGGCCATCCAACAAATTTCTCTCAGAGGTACGCTGCACATATTGGGAGGCACCATTTGGCTGATATACCTGCATCATGAAACTTAAGGTTTGTTGATTTTTTAAAAACTTTGGCTTCAGAAAATTAAAGAATATCATTGTAAAAAAACCCTTAGAAAGCTAGACACAAGGGCAAATAGGAATTAAGAGAATCATTTGAAGCCAACTTATTTTATGAGTTGAGGTTTGTTCACAATGTCTGACTTTATGGGATTGACAATTCAGGGGAAAAATGAGGTTAACACAATCAGGCTTAAGGTAGAAGCAATCCAGTAAGATGGAAGACTGTTGATAAATCAGTAACTGATAACTGGTGCTCTAAATTTTAGAATCTTAAAACTAGGAAAGTATACAAAGCGATAACCCTTCTTTCTTCAAGGAGAGACTTCTGCTGAAACACAACAGGACATGCATGAGAGATTCCTAAGTTTTAGGGCAGGAAACAAAGTATATCCAACCTCTATTCTTCCTCAAATGCCAAGTTTCACCCAATGACATTTCTACAGACTAAGCTTAACTACTACTACTATTATTGTTGTTGTTATTATTATTATTACTACATTGCATTTATATTCCATATTTTTTCCTCTTGCAAGGAAGTCAAGATGGCCTTCAAAGTTCTCTTTTATCCTTATAACAACAACCCTGTGAGGTAGCTTGGGCTGAGAGTGAGTGGCTGGCCCGAAGTCCCTTTGGGAGTTTTATGGCCAGGTGCGGACTGGAGCCTGGATCTCCTAGCCTGGATCCAGCACCCTCATCACCACACCACACTGGCTGCACTTATTTCCTGCATGTCTAGTGCTACCATTCGGTGGAGTGTGACAGCCTTTTCTGGCTGAGGGGCAAAAATTGCATAGAACTGTGTGTGCCATGTAGCACGCCCTGTCTTCTGCCATCAGGATGCTGCACTTTACCAAGCATCCAGTTTGGTCAGCTTTTACACATGGAATAGAAGTGACATCTTGTCCTTGACTCCAGGTAGCAACATGTCATGGACTGATTTTGATTCTTCTAACGTAGGGGTGGGCAAATTGTGGCCTTCCAAGTGTTTTGTCCCACAACTTGTAACAAACCACTGACCTAGCCAATGATCAGAACAGAATGTATGTATGTTTGTGTACATTATATTTATATCCTGCCTTTTTTTCTTGTAAGGGTCTGATGATATCCTACATGATCTTCCTCTCCATTTCATCCTCACAACAACCCTGTCAGGTAGAGTAGGTTGCGAGTCATTGACTGACCCAAAGTCACCCACTCAGCTTCACAGTCAAGTAGGGACTTGAACTTGGATCTCCTGAGTCCCAGTCCAGCACCCTAACCACTACACCACACTGTGCTCATTTGCAGGAGCGGGTCACTTGTGACCTTCCTGATGTTTTGTAGGCCAAAACATCCAGAAAGCCACAAGTTGCCTATTCCTGCAAAAATTCTCAGCACTCCAAACTACAATTCCCAAGATTCTTGGATTGAAGCCACAATAGTTAAATAGGCATAAAACTGATGTAAGGTTGTAGCGTAGAACTATCTCAAAGTGAGTTCCATTGTGAAGGGGTCATAATGCTACTCCAAGAGAATGACATCTGTGTCAGAGCTGTTGATTACAGTGAAATAAAATGTGCTCCTACTGAAAGGATATTTTGGATGGGTTTTCAAACAAAGATTCTAATCATGTGTGAATATTAAAGGCTGTTATTTTTATTAGCCTACATAAAATGCTGGTCGTGTTCTGCTGTGAGTAACTGTACTCTACTGCTTCCCAAAGTCTCATTGTTGTTACAATAGGTTAGAAGATTCTCTTTCACTTCCTGCTCCAAAGTATTGTGATGTGGTGTGGTGCTTTGTGCTGCTGAACAGCTGCTGCATTTCAGGGAAGGGCAAAATGATTCCTGTGAATCTTATAAAATAATTTATGGATTAAGGATGAACAGTTGGCAGCCAATTCCTCCTGAGCTGTTACAACCCCAGCTGAATACTGCATGTCATTGAAAAGGTCATTTCTCTGTTCCATTCCCAATAAAGTCTTCAAAGCAGAGATATTACCTCTTGGAGATCCAGGTCATCATAAAGCGTTTTTTCCTAATTGTTTCTCCATGCACTACAATTGCTTATGCAACCACTTCAGCACCAAAGGATCCTTCTGAATTACTGGTCTCTTTAGCAATTCTGGAGGATTCTCACCATCATAACTGAATCTCTCTAATGGCCAATTGTGGGGGATAACTTGATCACGGTAGGGTGGAAAAAGTCACTAATTCTAACAGCAAAAGTGATCATGAAAAACTATACTTAAATTTGTAACTGATTGGCTTTCTTTGTTTACCTGGGGTGGAGTTCACCAGATAGGGTCATCTCCATAAACGAGGTATGTCTGCAGGGGCCTTTCAGGGTGGAGTTACAGGCCATGGAATAGACCTGGGTTTACTGGACAGGCAATGGAGAAATAGAGTTGCCAAATCACAGATTTGTAGATGGAAATGTCTGTTTGGAAGATCAGTAAATTTAAGATGCGCCAGGACAGGAAAGGGTTATTGTGGATTTTATTGGATTAGACAGGTTTGTAAATAGGATATTGGCTTCCCTGCTTTAGAAGGTCAACTGATAATACCATAGAATTATTAGACTGACAAGCTATAGAGGCTAAATCAGATGGATTATGGGACTGAGGCAAGGTATTCAGGAAGAGGGAAAACATATATTATTGTTCCAACCCAGAAACACACCTTCTGTTGTTGGTGGTTAACAAGCAGCACATGTCATCCCCAGCAACCAATGGTTCAATAACTGTGTGGATGTAAGCCCTAAGTTTGGGTAATCATATTGTGTGAACCCAGTCACTGTACTTCCAGGTGGATGCCTAAGATGTTTCAAAAGGCTATCTAAAAAGGTAACATGGAGATGCGACAAACATTTGTATCAGACAAGAACATTCTGATAGAGGGAATCAACATATTCTCTGTTAATTGTACATCTGGAAGCAAACCCTGGGTTTCCCTTACTTCTGGGTAATGTGTAAACTAGGGTCTCAGTGGATTAGGGGGTGAATGGTATAGAAGTTGCTGCTTTCTGGAATCTGCCTTAATTGGATTCCAAAATATGGCTTTTTCTCATCGTTCCCCTCGGGGCTGCAAGGTGAAAAGAAATGCTTTTATTTAGGAGTGGGAGGGAGTTCCCCCAAAAGGCCCTCGACCCCCAGGTGCCTCCCAGTCCTCTTGAAGGTTATGCATTCCTGGGCCCACTCCGGGCCCAGATCGCTGCCCTCCTGGGGGTGGGGGGAGCTGTCGGGGATGACTCCGTCACCCCACGGATTCCCGGCTCCGCAAGGTCGCCTCCGGGGCTGCGAAAGACGAAGGAACCTCTCATGATTACC